GGATACATGTTTGCCCTGCCACAGGCGAACAGGTGCTTAGTGATGGCAGCCAAGACATCATCTTGGCCCCCCCCCCCCCCACAAGAGAAAATGTAAGCAAATTTATGTTGTGAAGATATGTTTTAAGGAGGCTTTTGGAAATTGGTAATGTTGGTATATATCAACTTACTCTGACATTGAGAGATCAAACAATCCCAAGAACTGTTTTAGTGATGTCTGGTACATGACATTTACCATACTCATTTCAGTGATTAAAAAGTACAGAATGCTGCCTCGAGTTGCCACTGCAAAAAAAAAAAAAAAAAATATATCAGTTCATAAAGTGAAAAAATAAAACCATTAAAACAATGTATATATATTTTTTTCAACATTGATGTACTGAATATGTAATATTTCCATAAAATGTGAAATAAATTAAAAAAAAGGTAAGAAAAACAATAATTGTTTCTTTCAGACGAATCGAGTAGGCAAGCGGTAAGGCAGGGGCTGCTATCTACAGCCTTATGCATCGACACTGGTTAAAGCCGCTCCTCGGAGCATGTATAATCTGGCTCATGTGAACTTTAATAAACTCACTGTATCTTTTGCAAGAGTAAAGGGTTACCCCTACGCTATGGATAATTTCAGCATCTGTCCTTTGGAACGATGTGAACTAAGCGTTTCTCTACTGTTGCTACAATAGTCACAATTCACACCAATACGCAATACAGCACTATGACACTGTGACTAATGGGTTATAATCTTACATTTTACCAATTTTTACATTTAGCATTTATTTCAGAAAATATTATTTTTCTTTGATTGATATGCTTTTCAATGAATGAATATTGTGAAGTAAATCGAGTTGAAATAACTGAATGTACTGCATAGAAGAAACAGTGTGACAAACCTGGTCGGAACTCTTCTCTAGCAGTATTGATCTTCAACTCGGTTTCAGCAGCAACCATTAGTTTCATACTGACCTCTTCAGCAGTGATCTTGGTGATGTTGAGCACGTTGATGAGAGATTCATCCTCCACAAGGGATCCCTGTGTGCTGGTCAGACGGTACAAGAGGTTGTCCTCTAGTTCCTTCATCTTCCGTTTGTTGGCTGTCACATCCTCAATCAGCTTGGTCCTCTCTGATTCAAGTTCCTGTCATCAATAAAAGAAATTTTAACATCAAACACTCTTTGCTGAAATTATTTTAGTCACCCCACTTCTGCCCTCAACTAAAAATCAACCCTTTTTTCATTTCATTCTAATATCCAGAAGTTAAAAAGTGATGAGAAATTCAAAATTACAGGTGAAGAATTGAACTTCAAGTCCCTTGGCTTTAATAAACCCCATGGTTGACGGAATTGCAGTTTATAACAATGCCACTCAAAAATAAGAGTAATATCAACTTACACTTTTTTCCGTTAGAATTACCCGTCCAAGCAACTGATCTTCCAGTCCCTTCATGGTGACAGTGAAGTCAATAATTGAGGTCTTTGCACTAATTTCTGGTGTGTAGGCTGGATTAGGCAGCTTTGTAGTAATGTAAAGTCTGAAGCCATCCATGACATCAACTTCTTTGTCACCAACTTTCACCTATGTATCAATAAATATTTCCATTCAAACTGAATAGACATCAAATACTGATACAAATAATACAAGAGAAAAGCATTATAGTCCCCACAAAATGTTAACATAATCTAATGAAACACTGACATACCTTTAGAGTTTTTCCACTCTTGATGAAGTTCTTCTCTAAGATATTGTCCAGTGCTGGATCAAGCTCCTCCACAACATCTTCAATCAATAGAGGGCGTCCCAATGACAATGAGTCTTCAAGATGAGTTCTGAAGTATTTATGGTTCAAAGAGGTCACCTATAATTAAAAAAAATAAGTCATATTTCTCCATAAAATTTTTTATTCATACAAATTCTTTTTTTATTTATGTGTTAGTAGAATATGCATATTTGTTGTGAATGATTACAAAAAAATATAAACTGGTATGGATAAAAGATTAGATAACCAGACCTGGAGTTCACTATTTGCTTCTCTGTTCTTAATCCAGATTTTCCCCTGACCCTGGGGATCGATGAGAAGGGGGAATCTAGATGCCCTGGTTACAATAATACCATTCTGTATCGAGAGCTCATCATTTGGTAAGCCTTGAAGATTCCATTCGGAAATCTAAAATTATGAAAAAGTAAAATAGTATTAAACAGTTTTAATATATATTGCCCTAATAAGAAACAATTATTGTAAATATCATGGAAAAATAAATAAAACATGTTGAAAAATTATGGCAGTAATTAATGATGATCATCGTCATTCAATGTTTAACATTTGGGTTTCTGTCTGCCGGAACTCTTCTGCATTTACTGTCAGCCACACAACTTACCCTGCCTTTATTAACACTATATCTACATGTACCCAGTTTAAACAAAAGCCAAAGATATAGCCTTGCTTCCCTCATCTTTTCACATGGAGACTTGGAATATTTATTGGTTTGATCTAGCTAAGTGCAGTGTACCCTTTAAACTGAGACCACCTTTGGAACCCAAAAATATGAGGTGGTCCTGGGGTTTGGTCTCCAATTGCCTTGAATTGGAATTAAAGGGGTTTCGAATTGGAAGGTGAAATGTATTCACAAATAGACAACATCACAGTTTACTTTCTAATGTTCTAATTAAGACTTCATTATGTTCACACTTAGTCTTAAATCCACCTACCCATCTCTTAACATTCTCAGTCATCTATGTTGTCTAAATATACAACATGTTAATGTAAAAAATTATTGATGTTAAAGTGTCCCTCTTTTTGGTGCTGAAATATAGGTTATAACACATATTGACTACGATACCAAATCGCCATTGCAGGAACAAAATCACAATCAGAAACAAAATCTGTTGTTAAGCATTGAAATATGATAAAGTGCTTGTAAGCATAGCAACAGTGCCCATCAAAAATCTGCATCACATAACAACCACATAATCTAGGTCAAAACAATATTATAGTTTTAATTAATTTGACACAATTCTCTTTTTTGTTTTTGTTTTTTTTTTTCTTTTTCTTATTTCTTATTTTATTTTAATTTTGTAGGGGGAGATAAGAATTATAATAGCAAGTTAAACTTATAAATTTTTTTGAATTCTTACTTTAAAAAATAACCTATAAATAAAACAATGTTAAGCATAGCATTTATAACAAAAAGTTTTAAGACTGATGCAAGCAAAGCAATTATAAAAACAAAAATTAAATCCACACTGAATTTAGCACATTCTGGTAAACATATAGAAAAAGGTAAGCACAGGTAATGTAGGTCGTTTATTAGTGGTTACCATAAACGCATACACTAGGTCAGAAAAGCGTTATAATTTAGGTTAATAAACAATAAATATAAATTTACTGAATTTCTATTGTTTTATATATTTGTTTTAAAAAATTATCATTTACCAAAAGCAAGGTAGGAGAGTAAGGAAATTTTATTGTAATTTATAAAATTAATTTTTACTAAAATTCAAGTAATTATTAAAACAAAATTAAGCACAAACATTACAACAAAGTTATTTTAAAGATAGATGCCTTTAAAGCAATTTTAAAAAACCAAACCAATAACAAAATTAAAGTCCAAACAGAATTAGCATCCTCTGGTAGGGACATGCAGAAGGAGGTAAGCATAGGTTGGTTATTTTAGTGGTTATCACATCAAGCAGATCAAAGCTTACTGTTGTATTATCAACAAGCATTTCAATCAAGTTCAGATTGGCTGTGAATGGAATCCTTCTAGTTTTCATCTCTTTCTGCCAGTTCAGCAGCAGACGACCACGGAACTCTTGGTTGAATGGGCCAGAGTACGACAGGAAACCGGTTGCCATTAGAACATCACCAACAAGTCTATCAAAATTTAAAAATAACTATTACAGTAATAAAATAATTCCAAACTTATTTGTGAATTTTCTTTTGCAAGAGGCGAAACGTGTCAAGTCTGTAAGTAAAAATAACATTTACTTATAAAAAATTGACACTGGATTAACCAAAGGAAAGAAAATTCACAAATAATTTACTGAATCCAGAATGAATTTATTTCCTATGAATCCAAAATTGGATAGAAACAGCATTTTGCCTAACTGAATTTAAGTTTAAGTTTTGTATCAGGTGAAAAATTTTCTAGAAGATGAACAGTTTGACTATAATATGGATTAAAAAAATAAAAAAAGATAGATATTGGATGAATGATTTTATAATTTCAAGTAAAAAAAAAAACGAAAAAATTTGTTCACATGGCAATTCAAATTATTCATACTTGAATAATCATGTGACAAGTGGATCGTTACAATTGCATCAGTCTCCCTGAAGAAGTTGCTGAGATAGCAATAGAAGCTAGGAAGTAAGCTACTCTTAATTTCAAATTCTAATCACAGTTTTCATTTATTTGAAAGAATTTATTCCTGATGTTACCTTCCAATTTGTGATTTAAACTCTTTGTTCTGTTCTGTCCATCGTTGTTTTTCACCTCCAAGACCTGTAATGAGGGTTGATGCAGCATCCATTTTACGTCGACAGCTCTCAGCATCATCCATCAAATCCTACAACGTCAAAGTTAGATTTGAGGCACAAAACTGTAATAGTTCCAGAGTTTCACCATAATGCTGGGGTGGGCTTAATCATGAATCAGAGGGCCAAAGTGCATTTTTGACTTAACACTGGCCACACCCCTCACTTGCAAAAAATGCACTGCTTTTATATACCACTAATATGTTCACAAATCAGACATATCAAGCTTTGAGATATATCAAATCAATATTCATACCTGTTTTTCTTTCATTGCTGAATCATAGAGGGCCTGCGCAGCATCCAACTCAGCTTGTTTGGCATCTAGCTGGTTCTGGGCTTTGGCAAGTTCACTCATGGCTGTTGCTAGACGGGCTTCCTGCACTGCCAAGTTGGCCTCAAAAAAGTACAAAAAGGAAACTTTTAATTCTTAATAATAATTTAATTCATATTTACAAAAAGTATTAATCATAATCATCATTATTATCGTTATCATTGTTGTATTCCACCTGATTATCATCTCTATCAAAATTCCATTACCAATGTTATTGCTGCCATAACTACTATTATCAACGATTAATATTATCACCATCACTATTATAACTATAATTACCATTATCTACATTAGTATTAACATAACCATCATTAGCATCATCATCTCCACCACTATTACCATTGTCAGTTATTGTCCCACTTATCACCACCTACACAAGGTTTTCTTCATGCTAGCATCATGTCTTCATGGTTTCCAGTTGTAGGTATACTCTTACATAACTACTAGTAAAATTAAGACATTTATTGTTACTACATGTACACTTACCTTCAGTGGTAGAACTTCTCTGTTAATCCCAAAAAATGTTGACATGGCCTGAGTCCATCCTGCCAACCCAGCAACATCTCCACAACTCTGAAAGGCAAAATTATTATTACTTGTTTTGTTAGCCGTCCTGTCATGAGGACATCAGGCCATCATTGACTGAAATTAGTTGACATATATAGTGCTTTTTAAAAGAGAGAGACCAGCATATTCTGTGCTATAATGTTTTGTACATGTATCTTTTGCAATGGCGGTATAATGCATACTTATTTATTTAATTATTATTATTATTATTATTATTAATTATTTATTTATTTTTTTATTTATTTATTTATTTTTTTTTATTTGTTTAATCAATTAATTAACCTGTAACCCAAGGCGAGACCCTTGCAGGTACTCTCTTCCTGGGTCAGAAGGATCCTGGTAACTGTTCATATTCAATTGATATATCTTGAGCAGTACACTAAAGAGATTCTAGGGTCGTGAAGGTTTGGAGTGACCACCTTCCCAGCAAGACACAGTTTCTGAACATAGCTAGGTAGGATGTAGCCGCAGGATTTCTGCCTTTTAGAACCGTAAAATAAAGTATTTTTTGCAATAATTTTGCTACTACTTTGGTCCAATTAGAAGAAATTTAAAACTATATTAAAGAAATAAAATATATATTTGTAATGTTTGTGTAATGCATATTTTTTTCAATCAGTCTTGTAAATATACGAAATTTACAAAATAACAAGATAATTTATTGTATGTATGATTTCAATATTATCAGTAAAAAGTCTGTATATATACATGATAGCTTTTGTTTTAAGAAAAATTGCTACAAATGCTATCAGTTATATACATTTTAATTAAACTTAATTCTCTGGAACTGAAAGGAAGGCATATAATTATTCACTAAATTCTGTTTAATTCTATGAAAAGGAATATTTTACTACGACAACTATTAGTACCACTGTACTAGAAAATATAACACTGGTTAAAGATACTATTTAGTAATATGTAAAATATTCTATATACCTTTCTGGCACTGTCCATGTTGTAATCTTCAGCTTCCAGGTACGGTGCCAGAAGTTCCACAGTCTCTGCGTTGATGGTATCCTTAGGGAATGATAGCAGACCCTGGAGGAACCCACCGCTACCCATCAACTGTGGTAGAATCAAAGGTTTACGGTGTCAAAGATAAATAAACAATCTTGTACTATTTTGAGCAAGGAAAAATGTTCGTTACGATCTGCTGCCCAGAAGCATTTTTTTAGTTTCTATTTATGTCAATTAAAATATTGTGAAATAACAATCTTAAAGTCAATTGTATTCAAAAAATATACAAGATTATTGACTACATCTATCACGACATTTCAGCATGTACTGTTAATTCAGTTTTTACTATATTCTTTCTCTTATCTGCTTATGTCAAATTTATTGTCTTTTGTAGGGGACAGATCCATAGATGTCCAAAAGGGTGGGGGGGGGTAAAAGTTGGGCCAATCAAGACAACACTGTCCTAAGGGGGTCCATGGGCATGCTTCCACAAACATTTTGTGTTCTAGGTGCCAGAAAATAACATTTGAGGCGTTCTGGGCTATCATTTTTTTATTTTTTCTTTCTTTTTAGCTTTTTTTCCTTTTTTTTTACCCCCCAGAAGAGAGGGCCGGCCCACCTCCTAAATCCGCCCCTGTTTTGTTTACAAAGTTTTTTTTTAACTTATAGTTAAAGACAGAGCAATATTGAATATTATGCCTTAAATATAATCTTGTATATATGACATTTACCAATTTGGCCTACTGGGCTTCACTAGCATAGACTGATTATTAATCTAAACAGTATGATACTCACAGCCGCAAAAAGGCAGCTTTTGGAGTTTGTGTATATCTTTTTCAGGAATGAATACTTATAAATTAGCAAGAAAGAAAAATAGATACAAACCTTGAGAGATTCTGACCAAGATGGCTTGACACAACTTTTCTCATAGTCAATGTTAACTGTGTCCAGCTTACTTTTGAAGAGCAGCAACACACAGTCCATGATTCGCATAATAAGGTGAGGTGGCTTACCAAGCCTACGAACTGTTGCTATATGAGCTGGTTTGATGGTGTTCAAGGCAGCCTCTGCAGCCTCTAGAGCAGGCTTGGCTGCTTCAAGTTTCTCTTCAGCCACCTGCTTGTCGGCCTGGAAATATAAATTAACACAAAAATAGGTTTAAGTCTACTACTTTTATTGAGACCACTTCTAACACAAATTTCTCTGACATTCTTTATTTTTGTAAACAAGATAAAATGTATTGAAGAAATAAATTTTTTAAGAAATTCAAATTTGACATTACATATAAATGTACCAAAAAAGTGTGCAAAGTAAAAGCGTTTTATAAAAAAAAAAATAGTCAAAAAAGCATACCAAGTAATTTTGTTTTTCTTTGTCATATTTTGAGTTTTTATATCTAAACATTATTCAATTACTCCATGCCCTCCCACAAAAATAGATATTCACAAAAATGGCCAGGCTGTTCATACGAGGCACCGCAGCATACATGATATTGGCACTGGTTCGATAGGTATGCTCGTCTATGGTTCTGGTAGTAAAACATTCCCAGATATGCACTTATAAACTATAGACCTAGTTTATACAATTGCTCATGTGATCTTTAAAGAATCCTGTACTGTTGTGGATGGACAAGATAGGCTGGAACCAATTTGTCAGGTAAGAGACACTTAAGGAAGAAAGGAGTTACGGTTTCAGACTCCTGTATAAACTGCTATATAGATCAAACTACATTAAAAAGGTAAAGGTAAAGGTAGGAGAATAACTTGCAGCGTCATTGTGCTGAATTGCGCATGGGTGTGGTCCGTAACTACCTAGCAGCCGTAAAGAGGCGCTTTTTGATAGATACATGTTCACATCATTCCACAAAGACAGGGGCTGAAATGAACTTTAACATCGGGGTAACCCCTACTCTTTCGAAAGATGCAATGGGTTCTTTAAAGTGCACACGAGCCAGATGTATACACTGGACCTCCATTTTCAGTCCTTATCCGAGAAGACTTGGTTCTACCAACCGAACCATAGGCAAGGAGCGGCTGCCTTTTTACCGCTCGGCCATTCGGACTCGCCAAAATTATATATACTGTATGTATAATACAACTACATTACTCCACACTGAACTCACATTAATTTCATCAACGATTGCTTGAGCTCTGTCCTTGACCTTCTGAACCTGAGCTTTGACCTTTTCAGCTGCCTGGGCCTTCTCTGTCACTTCTGCCAGCACCTGTCATTGCATTAATTAAGCAAATTGTTATCTGTAATTTTTTGTAATCATTTTTTTTTTAATAGTAAAGTATAATACAATATCATTTTTTAAAACAAAACTTTCCGGTTCATAAAATATATTCACAAAACCAATAAAATAATATACCTTTGTTCTACAGTAAAAGAAAAAAACCTTTCAAAGAAGCTTTTAAAAAACATAAATTCATTTAGTTTAATCTTGTTGCTTTGCAATCTTGTTTCTAAGCAATTATGTTGCTTAGCAATCATATTGCTTAGCAATCATGTTGCTAAGCTATAATAATGCTAAGTAAAAATTTGCAAGGCTGTGTTTTCATTGAAGTTTAAAAATCTACATATACTAGCCTTGTCAGCCTTGACGTTCGCTACTGCAAGTTCCTTTTCCTTGGCAACAAGCTCGACACTTAAAGTAGCAACAGATGCCGAGGCCTCAACTAACTTGTCTAGACCGGTAGTCATACGTTGTGAAAGCTCGCCAATCTCAGTGTGCTTTTGGGTGTAGATGTTCTTGTATCCGTTGATAAAGGACAGGTATGATTTTGGAGTCACATGTGTAGAACGACGGAATCTAACAGGATAAGAAAATAGAATTATGAAAATGTAAGTATTTATACAAGGTATTATAACATTAAAACAATTAGAATGATTCAGTGAAAAAAACTAATTTACAATAAATTTTTATAATAGGAATAATAATAATATTTATTTATACAGTGTATTTTCAGATTCAATGTACTTATGATATTGAAAGAAAAATTATGAGATAAATAACATCATTGGGGCAAATGTAGGAATCAAATGACCCAATTTAAATTTTTTTGAAAAACTAAATTCATTATTATGTCTCACATGGCAAATGTCAAAAAATATTGTTTTATTTTTTCTTTATGAAGGTGTACTAAGAAAACTACTTATTTTTGTTGAAAAAGTTTCTTATAGAAAAAAAACATTGTGTATATTGGTAGAACCAAGTCATTATCACATGAAAAATGGACACACAATTTACCTTTCAAAGTATTCAACACAAGATTCTGCCACTCCATCTTGAATTATACCCATCGTCTGCACCAGCTGTTTCTTAACCTCATCGGTACAGATAATCTCATACTTGATCAAAAAGTGCTCTGCCACAGCAATTAGGGCATCCTTTGGCCAACGACTGAACCAGTCCATCGTACATCCAGAAATTAATCCTGGGAACTTGAGGGAACGGTTACGGAATTTCTCACCAACCTGAAGGGTTAAAGAAAACATAGTAAATCAACAATTAGGAAACTTTAAAAAAATTTCTCAAGGCGCAGTTAAAATATTTTTGCTTTAAAAATTTATTCCCAACAGGTGTTCAGGTTTATTTAAATAAAAACTTACAGGTGAGAAACAAAGGACCACATGCAGATTTTGTCTGGCCCGAGTGATGAAGTAATCATATAGATTCTCGGCTGTGGGTGGTCGTCGTGGATATTCTTTTTTCATCACTGGTATCAACTCCTGAGTTATCTCATCAATCTCATCACGGGCAAACAGATTAGACACCTGGAAATTAAATTACACAAATCAGTAAATGCAGATTATAATTTACACATATATGCAAATGTATAAAATAAATGATAAAAGACTGCATTTAAACTAAAAAATGTGATAACAATATAATTATATTAAAATGTTATTCAAATGCATTTAAGTAAAGCTACAATGTTAAAAAAATAAAGAAATCGACACAAAAGAAAAATCTAAAAAGATATTAGGCCTCAGATTTCTGTTGTCAGATCCTCATAATAGTTTTCAATCTAACCTTCTAAAATTAACAGCAACTATTAAAACTCTCTCCAAAAACCATATGTTTAAATTATGTAAGAAACATATTTATTTTTATTGTAAATTCAGCCAATTTTCAACATTTCTATGTTGACTTCTGAGTGTTTTTATACCAATAAAAAAAACCCAAATTAGTAAATAAATATATAAATTGTAATTATAAAATATACATGATTCTTTCAAAATATGACACCAGTTATTTTACCTCTCCTGATGACAAGACATTGTTCAAATACTCCAGGAAGCTCTCATCTTTGATTTCATTGTCTGTGAAGATGAATGTAATACCCTTGCCTTCCTGTCCAGCCACTCTGTAGAGGACCTTCAAATCTTCCATGAGATTTGAAGTATTGTAGGATCTAGTGAGGGTAATCTGGAAGCTTTTATAGCCTGCGATAAAGGAGGCTAGCCTGGTTAGACTCTGCTTCCCTGATCCTCCAACACCTACTAGTAAGGCATTACCACGTGGAGTGCTGATGATGCGAGAAACCTACAGTACATTTAACAGACACAAATTCATAATTCAATAACTTATATAAACTGATATTAAATTTTAAGCAGATGTTTGAGTTTCAATATTTAAAATACCAGTGAACTATCAAACTTACTTTGATAATGATAATGAATGATTCATATGATAAAGGTGAGAAAGATGCATGGCAACAGTGGTACTGATGGTGATTATTACTATAATAAAGATCATAATTACGATAATAGGAAGACCAGATTGCCAATGATGATTATAATTTCATTATATTCCTATTAAATTTCCTGATGCAAAACACTATCAAAACATAATTCTATTACTGTACAATATAAAATTATATTTTTTGAACTAAAGTTCCTGGTGGAATCAAATTAATTTGCTTTATGTTTAATAATTAGAGACCAAATACATTTGAAACAAACATTCACAAAAGAGAGAAAATGATGCACAAGTAAGACGCAGGACTTGAACCCTGACCCTATGAACCCTGTACCTATGAACTGCAGACTGAACTACAAATGCTGTGCACAGCCACTCTCACTGTATGACCATTATAATTATCATTATAAAATGTTGCTATGCATACCTTCACTAGATGTATCATGGCATCTCTGAAGAACACCAGATCCATCCCAGAACCACGGATAGATTCATTGTACTGTGACATAAACATCTGCAGCCTCTCTTCAAGGAACTTGAATGAAGGAGTCGGTTCATAGATCTTGGGAGCATCAAAGTCAGCATCTTCTGGTTCATCACCAGTTGCTTCTGGTGCATCTCTGAAATCAGACATGAATCAATTTTTTTTTTTTAAATTCATTATCAACTTCAATTGACTAGCCAATTTGGTATGATAACAAACAGTACTTCCATGCACCCAAGCTCATGATCAACTCATCCAGCTGAGTCAGCTCAGGGACCTACTGTAGCTACTTAAATGCTAGTGCCTTTGCCAACAAGCTACAGCCCCTGTGCATGTAATCTATGCTGCTTTGACAAGAGGCTACCCAGAGGTTTTTAATATTTCAATTCTCTCAAATATTTCTAAATTACAAGAGCATATAGTAGCAACACAACAATTGAAATAATCACCGTAAAAAGTCCACAAAGTATTGCGAATCTTCAACATGAGACTGCAACTGTTCCCCAAGCTCCTCTCCAGCGACACGAATTATAGTCTTCTGGAACCAATCGCTGTCTTGCTGATTTGTGAATCGATCAGCAATCACACGTGTGCATTCGTGTTTCCAGAGTGCCAAGAGAACCTGCTGGGAGTTGACAACCTCAGATATAGTGTTGATCATTCCCTGCCAGATGCGAGATAAATCACGCAAGTTGAACACGTAGTGGAACTTGGCAGGAGTCGGCAACATCTTGATCTGTGAAAAGAAGTTTTCAGTCGAAATTGAGTAGATATAAATGATGCATTACTTTCTTAATCCAATAAATTAAAAAAATATAAAAAATGATTTAGAGAATCTCTCAGCAAACCGATAAAAGCTATTAGAAAAGGCTGTTGGAAATTTGGCTTATAATGAATGACTGAATGGCCGAGTCATCATAAATTTTAAAATGCAAGCGGTACCTTTGTTAGCTGCCAGACTCTGCGTGTGATAGGCACAAGTGCTTTTGCTAGTTCTCGTACCTCTTCTGAGAATTTTCGCTGTTCACAATAATGGCCTGTTCCTATGACACCTATTAAAGCAAAGGAAAAGAAATCAGACATTAAAAAACAAAATTAGTAATTACTATTCTAATGTTGATAACAATAACGGTAGTAATTAGTACTACATATGCAATAGTAACAACAGTAATTCTAACAACAATAATTATAACATGAATGATGATGATGATGACTGTAAGGACATTGACCATGAATTCAATTCAATTCAATTCAATTTTATTCACACAATGCATTGACAAGTAATGATACTTGAGAAAAACTAGAGTGGAAGGCAATACATTTATGTCTGGTGATACCAATAAGCACTTTAGATATTTTAAGTCTGGTACCCCCAGCAAATATGAATAATCAAAGTAGGTGATTATAATAACAATGACAGTAAATAATAATAAAAATAATAACAATGAATGATGATATGATAGTGAGCATTCTATACTCTCTGGGAAAATATGCAACCTCCAGCATATAGACACATGCATGAGCGGAGATAGACAAATGTAGATGTGCTTTGCATAAGGACACTAGCAACCCTGACATCAAATAAAAGTGGAAGCGAACAGTCGCCTTCCAATCCCACAGTCCTGGGTTCAAATCCTGACAGGTTCCATGGTTTTTTTTCTCACAACAAAACAACTCCAATCAATCGAGCCTTGTTAACTTACTTTATGTAGAGCAACATGTGTATATGTTTGTCATGTGATGGGATTGCCACCTATCTAATAGGACAGTAATTAAATTTCTATTGATAATCCTTGGCTATGTGCCTAAAGGAATAACATTGAACAATAAATAAAATAAAATAAACTCACCAAATATTTTATCAATGGAGTTGTTCGATGGAAGTGTGCAGTTGAAAATTGAGAACTGCCGTTTCAACCTCTGAGGAATGTCATTACGTCCTCCTCCAGGTTGGATCATCGCTGCCATCAGCTGGATGTCTGCGATGATGGTGAAGTCTCCAGGCTTCTCCAGATTGTAGAAACCACCCATTTCCATCAGCTGCCGAACAATCTCGTTGGTCACCTGCAAAATGACAACATGGTTTTTAGCCTTTCTATACTTGACCTGAGTGTCAATCAAACTTAACAACTGACCAATCAGAAAAGAGCAAGGAATACGTCGATGCCCTACAAACACATGTGTTGTCCTACAAACACACATGTTTATGTACATGTACACTATTCTTTTGTGAGACCTTGGCAACAATATCCATGGGGGCGAGGCTACAGTGCAAAGTGTTTTGCTAAATATTTTCAACCTTTAACAACCAAGAAATGTTTCATGTTTGAGGTATACTATATAATGGGATGGTAATTCTTAATCTTGAAAATTTAACATTTATTTTTTCAAAGATTGACACAATGAATATTATACATGATTTCTAAATATATATTCATTCTTATGAAATATAGCAAACATTAAATTTGACCCCAAACTGCTGACTGTGGGTAAAGTGGAAGAAATAGGAAAAAGCTATATGTGATACAAGTGTGTAACAGAAGGATCATCCTTTTGTACATATTTGGCTTGTAGCACAATCAGAAAATCACAGTGGGGAGGTGTTTAAATAGCATACCCCCATTAATTGACACAACACTATTGTCATTTAAGTCTCACAGCGAGATCCATTTTTAAATTTTCTCTAGTATTTAGAAGGAATCGACCTAAGATGCTAAAATTAAAACGTAGGCATCTAAACGATACAACTAATCATCACTATTAGGTTTACACTGTTCTCAAGGTTAAATGTTTCTTTAACTAAGTTAAGTTGTACTTGACCTTTAGTTGAACTCACCTGGTCACCCCATTCATTGATGACCGGCATGTTGATATCATCAATGAAAACTGACATTCTCTTTCCTGCAGGTGGACCGTATGTATTACCCATACGTTTGTCAACATAGCTCTCAATTGTACGCTAAAATATGAGAAAAATGTTTTTGTATGTTAACAACATAGGATTAAAAACAGATTATGGTCAAATGAAATATTCTTTATTTGTCTTGTCCTTTATTAATAACAATAATAATACAGTAATACAAATAACAATATCAACATCAATAATAATAATAATAATAATAATAATAATAATAATAATACTAAAAATAATAATAATAATAATAATAATAACAAAAATAACTATTAAAAAATACACATTTGTTTGACTTAGGATTTTTTTTTGTATGAGAATTTAAAACAATGACATTGGAACTGGTTATGATCATTGTGAAAAAAAACTAGCAATTGTATTTAAACTAGAGGCCTGAACCAAACAATAAACATCGGCCGTGTATGATGGGCATTATTTTAATTTAATTTCTTAGATTATTAAGTACCATTCCACAAAATTTTATGATGATACATTCCTTTGGTTTTGTACAGACAGAGGTGAATAAAACCTCCATTGCAGGGGTTAAAAATTTACGTCTTCTGCTTTAATAGATAATGTCTATTTATAACATCAAAGTTTACCTGGAACATAAGTGGAGTGGTGGCAGACGAGAAGTTGAAGCTTTTACTAGCATGCCTCTCAGGATCATACTTGCCACAGTACCCCTTGATAATCACTGTCTTTGCTGTACCCTGCTCACCAATTAACAGCACCGCCTAGTAAGAGAAGATCCATTTCATTTAACAAGTATCATGATGCGAAGTAACATATTAACAAAATAATTTCAGCGGCAAAACATTTTAAAATAAAATTAGATCAAAAACAAAAAGAAAACAAAATTTCAAGAGTTCTCTTTCAGGTTTTAATTGAAATAATTGAGTAATAAATATAAACATGACATTATGAATAATAAATACTCAAAAAAAGCCTTTAGAGAGGTATATTTTCATTGCCATATTATGACCTCTTCGGATTTTGCCAAGATGCTGGCACGCCAATTATCTTTATTCACCAAATCCTGAATTTAAAGTCTGGTATCTGTGCATAGTGTATTCGGAAAGTCTGCTTCCACAATTTGGACAAAGTCTCCAGAGTTATGTCATATATTATCTGGCCTGTAGCTCTGCGGTAGTGCCTGGTAAAGCAGGCTCTCCTCTGTGTGACTAGTGTACAGTCATTAACGATACTCACAAGAATGGGGAGAAATAAATAGCATACCTTTGATTGCTTAGCGATAGTATTGATGAGGAAGTCTGTCCTGACGTTGTCCACATTCGGAACCAGGATGGAGCCATATTCCGGGGTGACATCTGGGGGATACACCCATTCTTCCACACGCTCATTCCAGTGCTTCCAACTGCCTGTAATAGAAATTGAATAGAAATTTGTCTTTTTTGTCCAATTCTAAATCTTTGAAATTAGAAATTTTGGCTAGGCCCCTGGGGACTGCAGACAGCCGCAGTAGAGTGTCAGTACCGAAATTTAATGGACAAGTTGTCCCTTAACACATCTAACTCACATGCGAGGGTTATTTGAGAAACAGAGCGATCTGACTATAATTAAAACCCTCTGTTATGAGCCCAACGTCCAATTTTAGGAGGTGGGCTAATACCTAGGAAAACCCTTTTCCAATTAAATGGAAATTTTGCAGCACTGTATGCCTATTCAAAGCCAGTATTTGACATCTCTTTCTGAGAATTTTTTTAAAAGTCATACCTGGACTTTTATTGGGGAAACAGGTGGCACACAAAATTGGCTGTAATGTAGGAGGATGGCTTATACATCAGGTTGGCTTATACCCAAAGAATTACGGAATGTATCTTAACTCACCATCATTTTCAACATAGTAGTCAAACATAGTATCTTCAGAGCCTTCTGGAATTTCTGGCAAGTTCAGATGGATGTCTTCATGGTTGCGCAGGAACTCTTGCATCTTTGCTCTATCTTCAAGTTCCAAGAGGGCACCAATACTCCACATCAGCATAAAGACGTACAACTTCTCAAGATGATCAGCTCCGACGCCATTGCTGTCTTTGTCATCCTTGGAAGGAATCAGTCCTTGGAGGAGGTTCACACCCTGTTATACAATAGGATAAACAGACAATATTTCGATCAGGTTTGTTCCCAAGTGCCAGGGAATGAGAAAAATTAGTGAATCCTTGCATGAAACAGACACCATTCTCCAGGAGTGACAACCACAACAGATGAAAGTGATATTTGTGTTGGATGGAAGTTGCCCTGACAAAAAATTACCATACACGCTCACACACTCACTGCGCACAACAGTCGTTTGCCGACGCGATTCTATGGAGAAGGCAACGAGCATGCAACATATCGTTTTTAATGACGATCCATTCAGACAGCCGACAATCTGCAGACGGCATCGTCACAACCATCGTACGACACAGTGAGTGCCCAGTTTGAAGTATCCACTTGTGGAGGGTGTTGCATGGCAACTAATTGTAGATGATCTACAGTCGGAAGCAAAAAAAGCACTCAGGACAACCTACTGTAGTTGCTTGTAGTATTTCAAGTGGAAGCCTTCATGAGCACTACCGGCTACTAGTTCAGTTGATGCCTGTTGAGTTGAGTCGAAGCGCAAGGGCTACTTCAGATTTAAGCTTAGCTTAACACTAAGCAGGATTATAAAGATAACCAGAAGAGTGAAATGCTGCTTGGTGGTTAGATGTTAGCCTAGCTTAACGCTTAGCAGGAATACTAAGATAACCAGAAGAGTAAAATGTGGCTTGTTGGTTAGATATTAGCTTAGCTTAACACTAAGCAGGATTACTATGATAACCAGGAGAGTGAAGCTGCTGCTTGGTGGTTAGATGTTAGCCTTTCAACCCAAGGATCATACAGCTCATCGCCTACCTGTGAAATGACCATACACTCCAAGACATCCATCTTGAATACAAGGTTTTCAATGGCAAATCGATAAACTTCAGCAAACGAGTTGTCGAACAGCTGACGCATTGTCTCTGCCTCTTGCATGTTTCGCTTCATTAGCCAACCCTATGGAAAACAAGCAATTTCAGTAATAATTTAAATAAAATATAAAAACTGGAAAAAACCATATAGAGGCAAGATTGGAGAGTGGAGAGGAAATGAAAAGAACTGGATGAAAATTTTTGAATGAGGCAAAAGCTACAGCAACAAATGAACTGAAATAAATAATAATTGGAGGCTTTTTAGACAAGGTATAAGTGAGGTGTATAAGTATTTGTTTTATGAGAAAAATATAACACATTGATATCAATTTCTTGTTACTGTACCTCTAAGATTGGCTTCCAATCCAAACCAGATGAGCTCATGTACACCATGCCATTTCTGGAGACTGTTGCTGGGGAGGCATTGTCAATGTTGTGTGGTTCAAAAATTATCTTGCAGTTAGGAGCCATTGGGATACGGTCACCGTTGGCAAGAGTTAGTGTTTTGTTGTCATCCAACACACTGTTCAAGTTCTCAATCCAGATGGCGTCAACTGGGCCATCCAAAACTAACCACACATGGTCACCTGTAAAAGGAAAATGATAATTGTAAAGGTTTTACATATGTGAGATTGTTTGAGGACCAGGCATTTTAGTCAAGCAGCGGCCCACGAAGTATCACGAAAGTGGCCAAAAGGACGAGTTAAGTGAATCCCATATATAAATATTATTGCTAAAAAAATGCATTTTTACATTAATTGTCAACAGTTCAGGACACCAAAAAAGACATTTTGAATTTTTTATCATATTTTTAACCTAAAATATGTCACCTTTCTTAGCTCTTAGTGTTCTCCTCCATAACGTAGAGAAGATGCCATCCGTCCAATCATTGGTGGCTACATCCAGCCGTCCAAACATCTGAGGTGCTGTGATGGCTTTTGGGTTCATTCTCATCTCCTTGTGAGGAGCACCACAATCGCTCATGGCTTTCATCAGAATGTGTATACAGCAAGTCTTTCCGGCACCAGATGGCCCAAGCGCCATCATGCCATGACGGACACGCTGAGTCTCAAACAGCTGTTATTTGTAAACCAAAAAAAATTCATATAACAAATGTCGTAATGAATTTCTGAATTTTTTTACATGCATACGTTAATAAAGAAACATTAAATGCCCTTGGAAAAATTAGTGTTCAATAACTGCTTAGTTCAAATGTTTGTGGTAAATTACATCAAGAAATATTTATAATATTTACTGTACAAGAATGATTTGACATATGCCATGCTTTCTGTAGCAGAAAGTTTATATAACTCTCACCTGTATAAGCTTCAGGGTCCAGGATGGATGGTTAATGAGGCCGGCTTCTTCAACTCTCTGTGTAATAGCAGTCTCCAGTTCAGGATAGCCTGCCTTGTCCAGGGTGATACCAGGGAACAAATCATTAATGAGCGACAGGAAAAGAGGCTCATCTTCATCCACCTAAAAATAGTTGAATGAATAAAACTTGGATGTTAAGAACAAGAATAATTATTTAAAATAATAATAATGCTTTAAACAATTGAAATAATAAATCCACATTACAGATTACATTAAATTGTGGACTACTCCAAATAATTTCAACTTTATTAAAGAATAATGATAATATATACTGTACTGTTTTAATAATCTAAATTAAAGTTATGGCTACATGTGTTTAATTTCAAATTAATATAATAATAATAATAATAATAATAATAATAATAATAATAATAATAATAATAATAATAATAATAATAATAATAATAATACTTTAAACAATTGAAATAATAAATACACACTACAGATTTTGTAAAATTATGGACTACTCCAAATAATTTCAACTTTATTAAAGAATAATGATAATATATACTGTACTGTTTTAATAATCTAAATTAAAGTTATGGCTACATGTGTTTAATTTCCATGTAATTAAAAAGATATCTTGTTACAAGTCCCATTTGTTAAGCCACATTTACACTAGAGATGATTACGACACGACAGCGACATATCATCATGTAGTTTGTATTCTTCAACACTGCGCGCATCTGTATTGAGTTGTAATCGTGTCTAGTGTAAATGAGGCTTTAGATGGTACTTTAATAACTCACCAGTTTTGAAAGGTTCATGTCACGCAGAACCCTCATGACAATCGTGTTCTCACTGTCAGTTGGATTGGCACGTTTGTTGGCACCAAGTGTACGTAGCACTGACAAAATATTCCGCAGACCAAAGTCATAATGGACCTGAGAACAATGTCAACAAAAACCTTAATTTTGTGATCCTAATAATTGTCAATATTGAAAATAATAACAGGACTTTTAAATGCATAATACATAGTATATGCCAGTACTTACTTATACTTATAAAAGAAAGCAAAGATTTATAAGTAGACTTCATGGAAAAATGTGTGATCATTCAAACAAAATAAATACATTTGGTTTCATGTCAGCAAGAACAAACATGTAGAAACCAGATGTACACAGTCAGAATCTTGAAGACAATAAATACCATATGATGGAAAAAGAGAAGGCACTGGTGGAATTTTAACATGACTTTATCATAATTATTTGCAATGAAATGAATACAACGGAAGCAAAATTGTTCCATTTATCAAGCTTTCTTACCTGTTTGCTCAGCTGTTCCTCGCACAATTTGTACAAAGTGTAGAACTTCCTGGCCAGAATAATATTCTCCATGAAACCACAGCTAGCGAGTTTCACACGAATAATGATCTGTCGATCTGGTACCATCATCGCTACAGTACGGAAGTTGATCTTGAGATTTTCTGGAAGTTCTTGTCTACCAGCATATCCCGGGTTCTATAAATGAAAATAAATTGTTTTTATATTATATATGGCTCCTGTATTGATAGAGATACGCTCACTTGTCCAAAGACACCAACAAACCACCAGTGTAGAATTGTAAAGGCTGAATATTCCCTTCAAATTGCAATTACTGGACCAACTGTTATGACCAGTGTCTGAGCAGACCTTCTATGACTTGCAGTAGTACAGAGTTTTTAAATATAACTGGAATTACCATTGTTAAGAAGAGACCGAATTCTGGATTCAAGTCTACCGTGTCACCATCAGTGAAGATAAACTTCTTTTTGCGTTCCTTCTTTGCCGTCAGGACAATTGCAATCTGCTGGGCAGCCACAGAGAGCACAGGTAGGTCAATACGGTTGAACTCATCAAAGCAACCCCAGCTACCTGACTGAGCAAGTCCTGAGAGAAAAACAAAAAACCATAATAAACAAAAACACGAACAAGTACGCCACAGAGTAGTTCAAATCACTCGTTTAACGTTACACTAGCATAACTACTTGTGTCTGAACATAGCCTTAGATTCTAAAAATATAATGAAGTAAAAACTTTTTAAACCCCACAAGGAATTGTGATTTTAAAAAATTCAAAATATTTTTGCAACCAATTGCATAAGTTACCTTTGTAAATTCTTCCCAGTCCTCTGTAATCCATTTGATCGGAGCAGTTGAAGACAACCACATACTTGCCCAGTGCACGTCCCATGTCTTTGGTGGTTTCTGTCTTACCAGTACCAGCTGGGCCAGCAGGTGCCCCGCCCATACTCATACCAAGGGCTTGGGCAAGGGTAATGTAACATCTGAAAGAATAATATGAATAATATTATGATGTTTTGTACATATGCAAATGAAACAGTATACATATTCAAGTTGAATTGCCGAGCAATTATGCAGGGGCGCGACAAATTTCAACCATAATATTGGTGCTGGTTCAAGCAGAATTCAATAGCTTATGCCCTGGTGATGGAACAAGTCTTCTCAGATAAGGACTATTATAACTGTAGGCCAATTAGCTCATGTGCACTATAAAGAACCCAGTACATCTTTCAAGATAATTACGGGGTTACCCCTGGTGTATTGGGCCATACATCCCCTATTGCGAACAGAAGAGAGTAGCTTGCAACATTTTACAGTGTAGCTCAGTCATGAAATGATCCTTAGTGAAGAAGCTCAGCTATAGTTAACTGCGTCAAGCACTTTAAGACTTTGGTATAAAATGCTATATAAATCTAAATACATTACACAGCATTACATTCAAGCTCATGTATAGAATCCACGAGATATAATAGTATCATCCTTTCTTTATGCAGTACCTGTCAGTAAGAGGTGTGATGACAAGTCTCTCTGTGCATCCCAGGAACTCATTCTGATAGAGGAAGTCCACATCTGTAATCTTCACCAACATCTTGTCCGCATCCTCCACGAAGTAGAAGCGACATTGCTTCAGCCACTCAAAATCAGTAACTGACTTGATATGCATACGGACCTAGAAAAAAAATAAAATGACAGAATTTAAATATTTAGTCTTGGAGGTGATTCACATTAATATACCAAGTAATCAATAGCTACATAAAAGAACATGCATCCACTCTGCTTAGCTTCCTGAGGAATATGCCTAGCTCTGGAACAGCGTATCATTTTCGAGACCTGTACAATTAATATTCAACCATTCATATTAGGTGGCAATTCACAAAAGTCTCCCTCAAATTAAAGACCGCTTTGGGGGACTGGCATTTTCATAGTCTTTAGCAGTTTTGGTCTCCAATTAGAATAATAAAGATAAAGACATTTGTTAATTGGGGACCACAGAAAAGTGGTCTTTAATTGGAGGGGTCTTTAATTAGAGGGAGACCTGTATTTTACATTTTTTATTTATTATCAATTAAATTAATTAAAGCATTAAATTTCAGAAAAAAATTAATTGATACAATAAGCCAATAAATTGTGTTAATAATCAAATGTTAAAAATTCTATCATATCAAATTTATTCATTCAAAATAATTATATTGAGAACATCATTGCATATAAATTACAAAGTTATTAACATACTGCTTACATTAAATTTCAGAAAAAATTAAATTGATACAATAGGCCAATAAATTGTGTTAATAATCAAATGTTAAAAATTCTATCATATCAAATTTATTCATTCAAAATAATTATATTGAGAACATCATTGCATATAAATTACAAAGTTATTAACATACTGCTTACAGACATTTAACAACAGATTTCTATATAAAACAAACATAGGTAGTATTGTTTAAATACATAAAAGTGTTAAGATCAAATCTAAAAAAAACATTTAAAAATACAAATATTGTTAATGGCCTTGAAATTTATGGGAAAATATGTATTAGATTTTGATATAAAATATCCTCTAACAATAAAATTATCTATCAAATAAATTCTTGAAATTAAAATAACTCACAAGATCATCAAATATATCTCTCTGATGGACATGGATTGTGATGAGCGTTTCATATTTACGTCTCTCGACCTTTGTCAGTTCTTTGGTTGTCATGTCAATGAGCATGATCAGTAGCTCCATGAACATCTGATTAGTCTGCTGCATCACCTTCTTGTCATACTTAGCATTCTTCAGGCCTTCCTCTGCGTCACGCGTCCAGATCATTTGGATGCCAAGCAAACCAATCTGAGATATAGATGCAGACAAAAATCAACATTGGGAATGCAATGAGTCATGGTACATTGTAAATACTACTACTTGTGTCAAGGTAAGGCAACATACACAAACACACAACATGGGTTTATGTCGTTTGACCTTAGATACCTCTGGATACGCGGCTTATACTACTCTGCAATATACCTGTGCCGGATATGTGTTGAGGAATTCCACCAATTGGAAGCTTGGATCTTGTATTGCCATGGCAGCCATCTTAATGACACCATGTAAAGACTTCTGGGCCATCATCATAAGAGACATCAACCAGATCTCTACATTACCTTCAGCTCTTACAGTCCTCTCAAGCTACCAGAATCAAATATAAAAACATGTGATTAAAAATTAATTAAACAAATTTAAACTGCCTAATAATCAACATCATCTGTCTACTTAAAGTTTTGAGAGTTTTCCAACAAAAAACTAGAGCAGTCACTCTGTAGAGTGCATACCTTCACCCTGAATACTGAACAATATGCAGTATGGTTATGATGGATACCAATATTGTTTTTTTTATGCTGGAGGGTAAAAAAAAAATCAAATTCTCTATGACCTTTTGACCTCTACTTCTCAAAAATTTAAAGTGCACTAAATTTTAATGTAATACATTACTTAGTTTTTTAGTAATATTGCTAACAGATAGACAGTGATGAATACATAACCTGCTTCGTTTTTTATGATGGAGAGTAAAAAAAAAAATCAAATTCTCTATGAACTTGACCTTTGACCTCTACTTTGCAAAAATTAAAATTGCACTAAATTTTAATGTAATCCATTCCTTAGTTTTTTAGTAATCTTGCTAACAGATAGACAGTGATGAATACATAACCAGCTTCAGCGGTTAGGTAATCAATAATTTTTTTCAAATTTCAATGTTGCAATTAGTCGGTTTATCCAGGTAAGTATTCACAAAATAGACTTCAACGTTCTTTGCTTCTACTGACTTTTGTCTGGTTAACATTTCATTTCATTTATTTCCTCAAACAACAACAATACAAACAAAAATAACAACAGACAAAAAATCAGAGACAGGATAAAACGAATGCAAACCAAATTGCTGTACAAAATTTCTCCACTGGGAATACCCGACATATTTACTGTGAGCCAAAATGAATTCTGTTAATCTTGTTTAAAAACAGTGGAATACAGTATACTGCAGCAAATAAGCTCTTATAAACATTAGACATAGTATTGAATCAGACAAAATTGAAATGCAGTAAACTTAAACTGTGGCAGAAGACAGAAATATAACAGGGCTTACATCTATCGTTTCCCCTTCCGATGATTCTATTGCCAGAATCCTGTCATAATCTTTCTCGTGGAACTTGACCCGTTTTGTGTTGTCGAACACGCTGAGGAGATGAGCCTGAATGGTATGCGAATCGCTTGCTTGTCCAAGAATCTCAAGCAATGCTGGGTCAGACACGAAGAAGAACCTCGGGAAGAGCAGACGCTTCTTCTCCAAGTAACTGTAAGATAATTTTTTTTTTAAATATTAATTAATGCCCAATAAATGACTTGCTAGTGAAATTGTGATTTATAAAATGGATTAAAAAAACAATCATTACACTTGCTGAAAACATAACATTTTCGTATATCATTATAAATTGTTGGAAATCAATTCATTGTCATCTTATGTTGTGGCGTATAATTCATCCATAAGTTTTAGATTCATAGGATATTTCGCTGTGCTTCCCTATCCTTATTGTTAAGCACATCTAACTTGTTTGAATTTGAGGCAAATTGAGCATCATTACCATTAACATCACCATTTTGATTATATTAATCATTATCCCATTACCAGCATTATCAACTTCATTATCATTCAACAATTCCAGAAAAAAAGTGCTATTCGTATTCGGCGTTGCCGCCGCTGCCGTCATCGTCATCCTCCTCCTCCACCTCCTCATCGTCATCATCTTCATTATCACTCTCACCATCAGCCTGTCAGGACACTGCTGCCCAAAGGTCTCTTCAAACTCCACTCTTTTCTATTTGTTCACTATTGTTGAAAACTAATAAGATAAGAAGATCCTACCCAGTGAGAGACTTTTGGCAGAGTTCTAACTGTTCCAACAGATGAGGCAGTAGCTGTCCCATAGTCTCATCACCAACACAGCACTGGACAACATTATTGTTCTCATGTGCCCTCACCATAATCTTCACCCAAGACTTGTCAATGTTTGAGAAACGCTTTGCTTCCTGAAATTATAGAACATATCATATACTGGTGTATTGATAGTTTAGTGTACGACATGACCTAAACTGACAATCAGATTTCGGTTTCTGATACGTTATGCCAGTTTTTAGAACCTGTTTAATACAATTTTTCCCCACCACTGTCTCACTGTGGCACATAATAACACTCTCGTCTATTGCCAATCTGAGAAAGTAAAATCCAATATTGTAAATACTGCACAAGCTTGGTACACTGGCACTGGCCTGCAGGTATGAACTACTAGGCCGAAACCTTAAGATATTTGGCCAATGACATGAACAAAAAAGAAGGAAGGCAACCTTTGCAACATTTACTTACCTTTGGCAGCTGTTTGGCAATGTCTCCACCAACAAAGACGGCTTCCAGGTACACCCAGAGGTTCTGCACTTGCATCCACTGCTCAATGATCTCCGAGGTATTGGACAGGTTGTGAACCCACTGCTGAATTTGCTTCTTGAAAGGAGCATTGTATCTGTATTGAAAATAAGCATGTCACATGGAACAATATACCATTAATTTATAATTCCATAGAGAAGAGTTGTTCTGATAATAAAATACAGTAAAACTTCTTCTCTCACCTGTTACTGAGCAAGGATCCGAGAACCATTAGACTGTCTTCCATCAACCCGATGATCTCTCCAGTATGATCACCACGAAGCAACAGCTCTCCACGGTTCTTGAAGTTCACGAACATTAGAAGGTGAGCTCCCCATTCAGCAATAACTGTCTTCAGCTTGGCTTCAATGTCCTTCTCCTTCACAGCTGATATACAAATATCCTGAAATGAAAGATAAAAGTAACAGGTTTGTTTGAGTTTTTGTACATGGTCTGCAAAACAAACAGTTCAAGAACAAAACTTATTCGGGACAGGTACATTGTTGGATGGAAATTTGATGATGTTACGACTGACTTTAAATACTAAAAACAAAAGTACAAACAATTAAATTAAAAATGTTATACTCGGTTTGCTCTTTGTCCAATGAACAATAACTATGTATTTATTGATGTAAAAATATCAAATTGGTATACTAATTATTTGTGTAATAATAATTGGTATAAAAATAACAATTAAATATTAATATATGATATAAAATAATTTGTTAAATATTTAATAAAATAATTAGCTTAACATTAAAAAATAAACAAAGGTGTGATAAATAATTTTCAAAGTACATTGGAATATACAAATTAAGGCGGTATTTAATAAGGCATTTAAATTTGCTCATATAAAGTAAGAAATGCATTTCCAGGGATGGTAGCTTATAAGCAATAAGACAGCTACAAAACAGAAAAAGTGGTCTAAGAAATGACATTTTGTCCTTAAGATTTTGTTGAAGGGCATAATGATATCAACATGAGAAGAGCCTTCAAAGATGACCTTCCTGTTCTTTCATGATCTCAAGTAAAAAAAAATCAGGTGCAACTGCGAAAAGTATTATAAGTTGAATAGCATTCAAAAGGTATCAAAGAATATACTGTAAATAGTGTCAGAAATGTAGCATAGGGAATGATGTTTCATTTAATAATTATCACTAATTAACATCAATTAATTATCATACTATACCTCAATATCTTCCTTGCATTTCAAAAGCGGTGCTTCCATGATGTTGCGCAAACAGAACGACTCATTTTCCACATCAAACACATGGCCTGTGAGCTCGGCCATGCGTTGCCAATGACGTGGCTTCATGGCCTTGTTTGTCATGAGTTCCAGGAGCGGACACGTTTCGTTGAAGTCATCAATGGTTTGCCTAAGTTCGTTAAATGCTTGCCATTCCTTCAATGCTCGGGGAAGCTTACGACATCTTATAAAAGGAACCGCAATTTATACATTTTTTGTTTTGTTTTGGTTGAGTATTTTAGATATTTTCTGACTAATCTTTCTGATCTCCATAAATTGATTAAAGAATGAATATAATCTCCATTTGCAAGGAGAAAGTTATATATGATTTACAGCATCTTAAAAGGGAACCGCAATTTATACAATTTTTTTTGTTTAGTTGAGTTTGTTATACATGTTACAACATTTTAATCATTCATCTCTATATAATAATATATTATTAACATAATCTCAATTTTCAAAGAGAGAGATATAGTAATAATAATGTCTACATATATGAATTATATTATATATCTATTTTCTGATTTGCACCAAGAATAATGTATTACAACATAAACAAAATTGTTTAAATAGTGAAAGGTGAGCACAACAGTGGGTGAGTGCAAAAGTCCATTACATAAAATTAATTTTGATCATGAATTGTTAGTAAAAAATTATTAACATATATATATAAATGAGAATATAAGATGGATTCAGATTAAGGCATTATTATTATGGCAGATTCGGAAATGTTCTGAAATCATGATATGGTGTGTTTTTACCCAAGTCAATAAAGCATTGGTACAAAGGCAAAACAAATAAAGCTGTAGATGTTTTCACCCTGCACCAATACATTATCAACAAGTTTGAAATGTAAATTAAAGAAGAAAAATAAAATTTAAATTTTATCAATAAATCACATCAATCAAAATTAATTTAAATATTATTATATTTTTAGGAATTTTTATTCAATTTTCTCCCTTTTTACAGAATGCCATGAAGCATCTTCGAATATTGCGCTTAGAGTAACAAACATTCACATCAAAAGGAAACCAGTGAGAAGCCACAAACATTAAAAAAAAGCTGAAAAAGAATCTCTGAGAGAAATAGTTGAAGAAAGGAATTGTTAGGAAACAACAACATTCATCAACATATTAGCTATTTTAACTATAGTGAAAAGTGTAATATTGTGCTGGTTAACATTGTGAATAGCTGTATGTGCTGGTAAATATTGTGTATTACTGTAAATGAAATCTATTTATATATAAATATTACATTTAACAAAATATTCAAGACACCAGAATTACTTTGCAACCAATTAAAACATTTTTTCAATGTTTTTTTAGGAAGATGTAATGTAGTATAACTATAAAACGTGTTCCCAAACCAGTCACAAAATATTGGATTGGGATTGGATTTATTCTTATTAAGGATAGCCCATGAAAGAAGACTTATTTCCAGTGGGGTCATTCTTGTGGTGATTGGGCAGTACACCGGGAGACAATCCCCTACTCTTTTCCAAAAGAGTGTACTGCGTTCTTTAACATGCACATGGGCCATCAATGGACATGGAACCAACGGCTTAAACGTCTCATCCGAAAGACGGTGCACTATTATAACTTGTATTTCAGCCCTCCAGCTGAAATACAAGGAGAGGCAGCGATGGGAATTGAACTGGGGACCCAGAGATCTCCACGGTTTAGCGCACACACAGAGGCTACCACCAGATTAATCAACTGATCTAAGCTAAGGGTTCTGATGATAGAACCAAATTCTTTTTGAATAAGACCTTAAAACAGGAGATCCAATGAACACATGTGGCTCATGTGCATGGAAGCCAAGCTCCAGAGACTGGACTTAAAGAGCTGTTGGCATCTATCTGAAGAGTAGGGGTTACCAAAACGTATCAATTTAGTTATTTTTAGGCCAAGGATGTCAAACAGCGAATTTACTCACTTTCCTAAGTGGCAATGGTGGTATATCCCTTTACAAGACAAACATACACACAAAATGCTCCCTAAACTATGTCAATGAGGCTTACGAAATGGAGTTGTTTTTGATCGTGAGAAAAAATGAAGCCCTCCACACCTGGCATTCTAGTCACTGACCATGTCTGTATATAACTCAGCATAATATGCATCGTGGTATGGGTAAATCTCCTACCTTTACCTTTGCCTTAAATAGAACTTCAACATTTTTAATTATAGACCAGGCACATTCATGATTGATTTCTTCAAATTAAATTGTAAGTACCAGGAAAACACATCATGTAAAAATGATTTATACTACTGATATGTTGAAAGTGAGGTGTTGATAAATTAGTATAATTATGATTCATGATATAAGATTATCAGTGAAATGTCTTAAGTATGTTTTTATCAACCCTGTTAAAAATCAGAAAAACCATTAGAGTAAAGCAGTAAACATTCATAATCACTTTTGCACAAAGAACAATTACAGAATTAAGCATTATGCCACATCAAATCAAATCAAATTACAAATTTCACAAACAACAAAGGCATCTAATTTAACATTTCTACCTGTTTTGGAACTCAATCAATTCAGTGTTAATCTTTTCAATGTTCACATCTGTCCAGAGGATATCGTAGTAGCCGTTGACACGGTCAATGACGTCATTGTACAGACCGTATAACTTCTGCAGCAGGTTTAACTCTTTCTTGATCTGGAGAAGTTCCGGATATTCTGTGACCGGCAGCCCAAATAGTTCTTCACCGCCTGTGTATGTGATGAACTTACGGTACAGGTTGTCAAAGCGGTTCTGGTAGATGATCAAGCGTTCACTGGCCTCTTTTGGTGGTACTCCTGCTACCATTGGTCCAGCCTACAAAATCAAGATAGCACAATTATTAGATGTTGTAACTGGTATGACTTTGAACGTATACTTCACAACTCTTTAATCCAGAAACATGGGAATGGGAGAGAGGTGGTGAGCACTGATATGAAGATGAGTAAGGTCTTGACATGACTCTTAAGGTAGCCCTGTAAACAACTGAATAGGGTTGTTAAAACGGCTGGTAAAGTAGCTAGAACGAACATGGTTGAGCTCGATAATTTCTACTCTGACTCTTGTCTAGCGAATAGTCACTAAAGTGATTCAAATCCAAATTTTACTGTTGAAAGCCTGAATTACAGCTGACTGTCATCCCCTCTGTTAGGCAACAGCTATTGTTACACCAGTGTTTAAACCAATTCCTAATACTGATTAAATGTATAGTCCAAATCCAATTCATACATGCAAATATATAACATCCAATCAGCATTGAAATTTACTGGTATAACAAGAGCCACTGATAATATTTTATCATTTTTTAAATAAAAAGAACCTAAGTTATTTAGTGTAGTTTACAAAACAAACAAAAAATATAACAAACCTTCTCATAGTCAGAATAAAAGTTTGCACAATCGGCAACAAAATCTTGCACATTTGTGAGCAGGCCACCACGGAAATCTGGTTGGATCTTGAGTAGGAAATGTGACATCTCTGTTGACTGGGCCACGAGCTTAGCCCACGTGTAGCGCAAGGTGTCAACCTTCTCAGCATCTTCCTTAGCAACCAGCAGTTCGTATTTGCTAAGTGTAGCATATGATTCCTAAAAGAAAAATATAAATTAAACAGTATAAATTATAGTCTATATATCTGAACTAATGTGGAATCCGTAAATGGAAACTTGCGTGCAAATCAAAGAATAGTAAAATTAATATTTATCAATCTTACATACTATGAGCACACAATTCAATATGTATATATTTATATTTAATTCTCTTTTAAATGGTATGTAACTGTATAAAACAGTGTTTATATTATGTGAATATACTGTACAAAGGTATAATTTGTCATTTTCATCACCTCAATTGGGCCAATCTCCATATCAATGCGTATCTCATTTTCTCGGATCTCCTTTAAGGCACCCATGGCGATACGAATATCATCAAGATCTTTGATTGGTCGTCCAAGTTTCTTGGCTGTGTCATCAATGAAGTCAAAGATATTCTCCATCATGGTTCTGTATCGCTCATTGCAGGCTTTTCCAAAAACCACCTGCCAAGCTCTAGTCTCCGTTACCAGCGCATACTTTAAATTTTCTATGTATAATGAATGGATTAAAGATTACCACTTTGTTGTATGAGCTTTCAACACAGGTATAGTCTATTTCATGAATATTTACCTGGATAAACTGACTAGATAAGTATCTCACACATAGACTACCAACATCACTTCTGTAATTTATATTGCCATGCACAATATTTTAATCCAATCTTGCATTTTGTCATTGTACAAATAAACAATTAATAATCATTATTAATAGTTGTTTAAATGGGTTTTTTTTAATCAAACAATAAATCAATACATTTTGTTACATTATAGAAAGAGGTTGGAAGACATGCTTCCACAAGAGCAAGTTTTATGTTGATTTAGCATCCTTTGGTAATATACAGTATTTCATAAACCAGATAAATGAAACATTATTAATGTGGTAATGTATTACATAGCATTACACTTTAAGTTCAAGACTAGCAGTTCTCAAACTATGGGTCACAACCACCAATTGGGTCACCAAATAAATTTGGGTCGCAAGAAGGAATTTTAAAAATATTTAATTTTATAGCATCTTTAAATTTGCTGTAGCAGACAGAGCGCACTAAGTATCATTAAAACATTATACTTCCAGAATGTATTTTTTTTGGGGGGTCATCGGCCAAAAACTTTAAGAATAACTCTTATAGCGTACCTGTAAAGAGTGCTAGGGCTCCAACATTGTAATATTCAGGTTCATTTTGAATGCTAGCCTCAAGTTCTTTGTAGTGGAGGATCATACTCTGGAAGTCATTTAAGTTGGGATGCTCTGCCATGAATTCCTGAATGGTGGTCTCACGATCCTTCTGCCAGATAGCATGGTACACGTTGAAGTTCTCCAGCGCAGTGGTCACTTCCTTCTTGGTCGAGTTGATGCAAGTGGAGAGTGGTGCAACAAGTTTTGCAACATCTTTGTTCTCGCTGACGCTCTTGAAATAGTTTTTAGCCTGAACGGGAGGTACATTTGGTGTCTCTTCACCCTTACCACGCTTTCCAGCCAAATCGCTACGGGAACTTTCAGAGTGCGCAATGCTTGTTAGACTGCTTCGCCGGTTAGTCTCGGAGGCTGCTCCTGCCCTAGCTTCTGCTTCACGCTTGGCCTAGAGTGAACAAAAACATTTAATTTCATGTTCAAACGAAATGACAAATATGTTTGTAGGGTTCTTTTAGCATGTTACCGGAGATTACTGCCTCTTTAGTTCAGATTTGTTCCCTCAAGTGAGAAAATTGGGAAATCATTAAGGATAATAAGTTATTATTACTAAATACTAGAAGATTCCCGAGAAGACTGACTTTTCATTTCTAAAATATGTAAAATATAAAAAGATAATATATATGGGGAAAAGAACCACTATTAGAAGACATCTCACCAAATAGTAGTAGTACTAATTAAACATTTTCAGCCTAATACCCACTATAAAATTTTGTGTCACGAATTGGTGGGAGTTGCCCACAAATGGACATGATGATACAACATCACATTCATAACATTATGTCGTCAATTACATCCATATATGGGCATCACTGCTACTGTATCACATACAATTTTATAGTATGGATGGGGCTTCTTAATATTCCAATAGGTGCTTTGTGAAATAATTGAGAACATGAGAAGGAAAGAAAATGTTCATAAGTGTAGAGGCTAATGTAAATTGTGTTTAAACTTTGCAGTTACATTAAGGAGAGAGAGAGATTGTTGAAACAGATATTAGTGGCTGTGCAATAAAAAGAATCTAGATGAATAAGCCTCTGTGTGTTAGAAAAATAAAATTTATGAGAATGAATCAAGACGTTTTAAAAAAAAAACATGATACGTTGATGCATTACATATGTCTAGGTCAGACAATTCCATTATTTTTTAGGTAAGCTCCTAAATGGAAACTGGCTAATAATAGGTTCATCCACTACAATAGCCTCGCCAGCACTTTGCTCCTTCAGCAAGGTAAATAATTTGCTAGGCTTGGGAAAAATTGTTTACCTTGGGTTTCCTCTCCTTAGTCCACTGTGATATGCCCTTGGAGACAGCTAGCACCATCTGAGCTGCCTTGTTGATGGCCTGCTGTACTTCATCTAAAGCGGGCTGCATGGTGATGTTGGGGATGGCTAGGGTGACATTACATCTGAAGAAGGGACTATCCTTCTTCTGTTTATCTCCTCTCTGTGTCATATCTGAAAAAAAAAAAAAAAATTATAAAGAATAATAATATTCATGTGTGTATTATTTATAATACATTTTAAACCATAATCCATTTTCAGATCTCAATATAGGATTATGAAGTTAGCACCAAAAGCAAAACTTTAAAATACCATCCAATGTGAAATCAGATGTGCCTATAGTTACAGTTGGTTTAAACATACTTCTCCCTCATATACGAGATTACATAATTATAAAGAAAGCATAGTGATCCTAGCTGGCAAAAGCTTGTGTAATTGTAAACAGTTTGAAGTTAACTGTGATCTACAAAATAACAGTGAGTATTGGTTTACTTTAAATGTCTATATGGAGTTTTAAGTCAGTCTAAGATAAAGTGCTACTAGTGACTAGCATGGCTCTATCTACCATTAAAAAGAATATCATAAAATATATTTCTCTTCTACATACCCATGTAGCTCAGCACGGTGCTTGAAGTGACTCTTTTGCGAATAGTGTCCAGTGTCTGTCGAGTCACCTTCAACAGGGCGTCCAGATTACGATGATTAAAGTGAGCCAGAAGCTCTTGCGCTGCTTCCTCTAAATTCTCCTGCAATTCACGTTTGCGCTTAGCAACTGTCATAGCCGCTGCAGACTGTACTCGTGATTTCACACTGCCCTGACTACGGTTTAAACTGGTCCTGGATGGCGTTGGGCTTGCACGCCGCTTCTCAACTGTATTTTAGAAAAATTAATATTCTTAATTTGTGATCCGACACAGTACACTGTAGAAAGTTCAAAGACTTATTTGCCAAGAGTCCGAAGTCTCCCACAAGTTGCAGGAATCTTCCAGAAATCAGGACAGCCTTCTGCACTCACGCAAGCAAGAATCTCCCGGAAAATAAACCCATCTCCCACAAAATTCATAACATTTACAACTTTATAGTTAATTTGAAGTCTGCGCTGATGGGTATCACCATGCATAGCAAAAATTAAATAATTAAAAGAAGCTCGTTTAACCAGATCTCCCAGAAGGCACTGCATCCTACTTGAGACACCCTGATTTGCAGTGGGGTTCTTCTCATGTGAACTTGGCAGTACAGCGGCAGACAATTACCGGCACTTTTCCAAATAGTGAAAAAATGACATTTCTATAAAGAACTCAGTCAATATAATCAACAACCTACTAAATTTTATCATAAGAGCAAAACTTACCACAGTCCCATATGTGAGTAAACCTACATATATAAATGATTACAAAGAAAGCATTTCTTTGAGAGGTATTAGTTCAATAGCTCTCAAGAAATAATATGGTTTCATTACCTTCTTCTCCATCTTTGTCCTCCTCTGCATCATCTTCGTCATCCTCTTCATCTTTATCAGCTGTCAACAGCATGTCAATCAACTCATTGGCAGCTTCTTCAACCTGCATGCTCTTTATCTGCAGTGTGATTGCCCCCTTGTTGCACAATTCCTATTTCAATAATATTGACAGCATTATAAAAAATATAATATGCCCATACGCATTCTGAATCTGAATCTATACTGACAGGACTCCACAGGGGTACAGTATATGCATCAGTGTGCGTCATCAATCTGCAAACTATAGGTGTTATTTATTTATCTATGATGTATTAATTAAAAATATATTTTTGACTAGTAAGTGATTTTGTGTATGCAACACAAGGTATATAATTTGGTTTGGTTCTTCAGGAGGGAGATCCAACAACTGATGTCAAGGCAGCGACGCTTTCACTAGTGCGAATACAAGAAAAAAACTGCCAAATTTGATGAAACAACAGCTTCTGTCATCATTATGATCAACCCATACTTGGCTCCCTAGAGGAGGTTTTCCATACAGTTCTAGCTATTGACCAGCGTACTTGAATTTGAATCTACTGAGTACCCAAACTTTGATGGAAAGAAACAATGTGGATATTAATGTGTCTTGCCTTAAACCACGCAATGTTATGCATTTTGGGGAAACAGGGAGCTACTAATGCTAGGTTTACATTATGTTACAGCTGCCAGAGCAGAGGCCCGTTTGCCTCAAACATAGTGCGGCGTGGGATTTTGGCCATTTTTTATCTGTATTTAAGTTTTGTAGGTTTTGTTCAGTTTTCATAGCTTTGCCTTCTTTCACAGCTTGCCCATTCCGGCCCCTCGCATTGTCTCACATCAATCCCGTTTTTTTTTCACGGTGACCTGAAACCTGGCTGCCGTGGCAACCGGAAACATAGTGTAAACCTAGCATAATCCAGAAATTTGTGAACTATCATAAAAAGATTACCTGAGTCCTTGCATGAAACTGAGCAATGGTCCAGGGGTCATCCTCTGGGAGCTCACATAACTGGGTCGTGCTCATCTCAAACAAGACGGAATTGATCCGGAACTGAACCAAGTCATTTGCACGGTCCATCAAAAGCTCCAAATTCCCTGAAAATATATGTTGGATAAAACTTGAATTCTGGGTTCCTTATATTGTATCAGCAATTTAAAAAATATTTAGCTGTCAATAAGTAAACGCTGGCCAAAGTAAAGGCCAAATAGCTCAGTCAGTTAGCCTAATTAGTCAAATACCCTAATAATTATTTTACCTAGTCAGTTAACATATTAATATATAACCTAGCCAGATAACCCAGTATTAGTTAAAATAATCAGCATATATTGCTAACCTTGTCAGCTAATATATTAAGCTGACCTAAACAGTTACCCAAAAGGCATTTAATCTCACAACCAAACATGGGTCAGCATCTGTGTATGTCTAGACTGTTACCCTAGTATCCGATTATCGATTCAGCTGAGCATCAGTTAATCTGAGTCAGCAAACCTGGTTAGCTAACCTGGGCAGTTATTCCAGAGTCGGCAAACCAGGTCAGCTAACCTGGTCCTGCTACTCACCTAGAGCTGTATAAACATCACTGATGAAACTTTCAATGTTTAAGCTGGTCCATGTAAGCATACTCAAGCCAGGGTCAACCACAGAGTCTAGCTTGTTGATATGGGGCGTCATCAATGACTCAAACACTTGGTGAATCTTACCCCGCACACGCTTGTTCTCAAGTAAGAGCATCTTAATTGAAGAAACAAAACATAATCTTTCAGTAGTATAAGACAAAAAAAAATCATTTTGCTTTTTAGTTTTGTGCTGATGTTACAATACATCATCACATAAAGTGCATAGCTGCCTATGCAATATGTGCTATAAATCCAACATTGTCACTACTGCTGTTGCCACTACTGCTACCATTAATACACTACCAATACCAGTACTACTACTATTATCAATGTTTAAATGAGTACAGTAATACTAATCTTACCTCTAGTTTACCATGTAGTTCTTTGAAGTAACCTTGTTTCTGTCGCATTGCTTTAGCTGCAATTGGTATGTCCAACCCAAGACGTGTCATGCACTCTGTCTCACGTATCAATGTAAGAATCTGTGGGTCGAAATTAACATAGAGTTCATTGCTCTCGGGATGCCTGACCAGTAGTGATGCGTTCAGCCCGGATTTGACAGCTTCGACCTGCCGCAACCATGCTCTGTGGTACAAGACTTCAAACTCCATCAACACCTTAGCCAGCTTGTTAAAGTTCTTGATGATCTTCTTAGCATCGGCTCCTTGTAAGAGGTGCGGTTGCTGCTGAAAGACTTCCATTGGTTCTTGGATCCTGCGGAACATCTGCCTTGCCCACATGATCTTGCCGGCGATTGGTGGAAGATCTCTGGCCACTGGAGGTTCGTTCTTGTTGCGTTGGTAATTCTTGGCAGTGTTTTCAATCTCACGGCCAAATCGTTGCAGTATCAATGTGTACTTCTCCTGCACACCAAGATTGCATAAACCAAGTCTATTAAATTAAAAAATAATTAATATCTAAATTAATACATTTAAATGGAAGTTTAATCACAAAATTTATGGTAGAGTAATTGACAGTAGCGGCAGTTTGGCGCGGCAGTTGAGGTTTAGGCTTTAGATTCTCCGCTGTGCAGATTCGCATGTGTCCTTGGGCAAGGCACTTTAGCTAAAATGCTTCAGTCCACCCAGCTGTATCAATGGGTACCAGCAAACTGCTGGGACTAACCTGGGACGGACTAGTGTCCCGTCCAGGGGAGTACAATTCTCATCCGCTTCACACTACAGAAACTGGGGATAAGCTCCAGCCCTATGAGCCCCAGTGGCTCGGAAAAGATTTAGTAGTTAATTGTTTATTAATTGACAATAAATGAATGTCCCATAAACACTTCTGTTGCAGCATTTTATCAAATGGGTTTACAAAATTTGATACGTTCCTACCTGTCAAACTTTCCAATTAACTGCAAAGCTCGTTGGATGTTATGAATCTTGTCAAACATTTCATCCATGAAGCTTTTGATCTGGGCCTGAAAGAAATCATAGTGGTAATCATAATTGTCATCATTATTCAATTCAATTCAAATTTATTTGAGTATAATTCAACACATTACATATAACAAAACAATGAACAATAAAAAGATAATTTAGTAAAACATTTTCAGTTCAGGATAACCCAAAAAAACCGAATCAGTTTATTTTCATTTGGTCCCTTAAATAAAAAATATTACATAAAAGTATTATCTTCTTCATCGTTATCATTATTATCAACATTCTCATACTCACCAATATCATTATCATTAAAATACCTGATCATCATTAGCATCATCCTAATTATTATCATCAACATTATCCTCATCATCACCTAGCAACAGCTTGAGTGTTCTTACCTGTAACTCATTCACTTGTCGTTTGAATTCTGTATAATCTTGGTCGTAGTCTGCCTTCCTTTGGTCAAGTGGGTCGTACGGCTTCTTTTTCATCGAAGTATAAATGGCACCAAAACGGGCAGCCTTCAACTCCATTCCTTAAAATTCATTAAAATTGTATACAACCTAAATTCAGAAACTTTTTCCACCAAAAGATCAATTTTGACACAAAATAATGAATAAAATAATAAATAATTAAAGTATATTCAGTTGTCTGAATTTTCAATGATTTAATTTTTCAAAAAAATTCTGTGACCTTAAGCAAAGAAGTTACTGTATGACTTAATCCATGCTCTGAGCACTATGAGACTCATAAAGCGCTATAATATATAATATATTCGGAAAAGAGTAGGGGATTGTCTCCCGGTGTACTGCCCAATCACCACCAGAAGGACCCCACTGGAATTAAGTCTTCTTCTAGACTTTCGTGGGCTATCCTTGGTGTTTACACATAGATAGATTTATTCTATTCTTCTATTTTTGAAATCTAGACATTCCTATTTGTCTTTTATTACCTTCAATACGAGACTCAGCTAAATGTGAGTACATTTCAATCACGTCAAACATATCAATAATCTTTGTCAGTCGCCGTTCAAAGGTGTCAAACTTGCCGAATATATACATCTCGGAGAATTCAAACTGTCGTTCGTTGGGCATTGTCTCAAGTTTTTGCTTTGTCTTCTGGAAACAGGCTTGGTACTCGCGGTTTAGTCGGATCGAAGCCCGAAGCTTCGCGATCACCTCATCACGAGGTTGCTCCCAGATGGTGTAAATGCCATTACAAGTGATGTATGCCTTGCATGCTGTTATCATTTGATTGGTTACCTAAAATATATCATTCATGATTGGTTGATATATCATATTATTATTACATAGCTTGATATGCTTTATGGCTAAATGCAAGCATTTGACTGGCTTATAAATTATTTCACTGACTTACACTATGATTGGCCTAACCATATGCACTAACATGTATACTGATTAGTCATCTAAACACACAGTATAGCAATGAAAAAATACTTATTTTTATTTACGTATTTGTATAACTATAAAAAGAAAATTCTTTTGTCAATTAAAATCTAAAGTTTCTATATCACTAACAAATGATCTTAATATTTACCTTGACAAATAGTGAGGTCATTCTTTCTGATGTGTTGTAGTAACGCGAGATGCTATGGATCATACGGATAGCATTGATTAAACCGGGAATAGTATCAACCATACCAACCTAAACAAAAACCACATAATAATAATAATAATAATAATAATAACAATAATAATAATAATAGTGTAGTATTACAGTATATAGCGCACATATCCATCTAATGTAAGATTCTCAGGGCGCTTAATATGTGGACTAGGAACTCGATTAATGACTTTCTTCACCCCTAAGGGTCCCATCGTGTCTGTGCTACCCGCTAACCCAGTACCAGCAACTCTTGTGGTCCACTACATAAACAGAGTATTAAATATTGCTTATTGATTGCTTCAACTTCAATCTGATTCATTTACTGTATACTGTACAGTAGTTTGATGAAAATTGCAATAAAAGGTTGTTAATAAATGGCTGGTGGAAAAGGGATGTGGATGCATGTACCAACCAGTTTGCGCAAGGTCTAACTATTTGTTAGTGTTTCACTGGTTAGCATGCGGGCTGCCATCTGCAAATATACTTTAAACCTAGTCAACTTGACCACTGTAAACATTTTCATTCGTAATAATTAACAAAGTCAAGCAAGAAATTTTAACCAAAACAAAATTATGCTAGGAAAAGAATGTTCTATGAGATATTTCCTAACTAAACTCTTCCCCATAGCAGTCAATTGTCACAAATGTGCAACTTACAGGGTCACTATTGTACAAGGGGTCGCAAAACTTCTCTAGCGTGTACAGAAACTTGACATTGTCTTTAGCTTCATTTGCAGCATCTGTTATCCTCCGATCTAGCTCCATCCAACTCTGGAAATACATGAAAAAATTACAAATATGCGATGTTTTCATTCCAATTCCTTGGGTTTTAAAACCTCACACAAACAGCCTCATAATGAGACTTACTAATTAATTTATTTATATAGTGCATCTTGCCACTATGCACCTCACATTGTTGTTCTGCTCACTGGATCAAATGGAACGTATACACAGTTCCCTGGGGAAATCTCAATAAAAAATACAGTAGCACAAATGGTAGCACACGTTTTTTTTTAATTAACAAAATTTTATGACACACAAGCTTTCATAATAGCTTGAGTTAGCTTCATCAGCTCATGGATGAAAGAAAAGCTTTCCTCCATTATCAGGCGAATGAAGTTAAAACACATGATGGCGGGTTGAGCTAATGCAACCTACCTTGAGTAAACGTGACTTGGCAGCTTGCAACACTCCAAGCACTGCCTTCACATGTGGGTGCTTGATCTGGTCCAACAGGTAGTTGAACTTTGACATCCTCTTCTTCCAGTGGTCAAGTTCCGCTCGAGGACCAATATTATCTGCCTCTTTGCGAATTTGTTCACTCTCAGTCAAAACCTGTAATACCATCGAACAGTGTAATAAATCATTCATTTCTTCTCTTAGCTCCAAAAATACATTTGTTTCTTGGTGAAGTTACTTCAAAACAAACTTTGCCTGCTCATCATATTCCTTTTACATTATTAATTGTTAATACTTGAGCCAAGTTGTGGAAATGGCTAAATTGTAACAAAAAATTCATTTAATTTTCAAGATACTAGTAATCTTTAAAATGAAAGTCATTCATTGAAATTGAATATATCAAGTCAAAACAATAAAAGTACAGCAAGCTTCAAGTCAAGATAAACATGATTTTGAGTATTTGCCTTTTAAGTCATTTTGTGCATACAATGAAGGGCCAATCATTGAAATTGGATATTTCAAGTCAAGTTATTAAAGAGTATTAAAGTACAGCACTCTTTAGAGTCCAGATCATTTAGAGAATTACCTTATCAGTTAATTGCGCGTACATTGTTTAATAGAATTACCAGAGTTGTAGCTGTAGAAAACTAATTGTGGGTGATTGACATTTCAAGGGTGGGTGGGCAATAACACTGGTAAACTCTAAATATAAGAGTGGATTTTAAGGGAAAAGTGTGTTAATAAGGGTGGGTGGAGGGCCATGAAATTAGCTTCAGACTGGGTAAAAAATCTCAAGGCTGGGTGGCCCTATGCCAGCCATAACTGCATCACTGAATTACCAAAAAGATGTGAAACAACTGGTTTGTTGTTTCCACAACAAAACTTTGGGACATATGATTTGATATTTAACTGTTGATTTATAGTAAAAAAAATGTTTAATTTTTAGGTCATTTTTTAACTGCCATATTTTATAGCTGCATTTACTGAATACTGGAATATACGGCAACTTAACCATTTTTTCTTGACACACTTCATTTTTAAATACAGGTGGCAAATATTAAATAATCTATAATACCAGACAGCAATGCGCTAATTATTAGAATATAATCCTGTCACCTGTTCAATCTGTCGTATCCATATAGTGATACATTGTTCAATCTGCTCAAGATCCTGGGTGCTGTTAGCAACCGCAACAAAATCTGAAGGTTTCACCAGCTTGGAGAGGTCATGCGACTGACACGGGGCCAATTCAACCTTTTGTCCGAGAGATTCTTGCGCTCCGGAGAGAATTGTTACAAAGGATTCAAGGTTGTTAAGGAAGTCTATTCGCGTTGGTTGGTTTGCCTGCGAGTTAAGTTTCCCCCACCAAGTTGTATTCGCACGAAGAAATGGAATGAAGATGTTGGACAGTAGGTTATTGACTGCAAATAAAAGGTTGCCTCCATTTGTGTCCAATGTGGTGAAGTTAACCTCCTGTATATGGATAATAAAACATACGTTACACCATTTATAGACTAGATAGAATCAATAAAGACTGTCTCTTATACACATCTAGATGTGTATAAGAGACAGGTACCACTAGGCCTAATTCCTACCTTTTTATTTATTTATTTATTACGGTATAAAATATATTACAATACAATAGCAAAGAGCTAAATATTCAAAAAGTAGAAAAATATATCCTTGATTAAAAACTTGATGGGTTTAGATCTCTTTAAACATCTTAACATTGGTTGTATTCCTTTTACATGAAGGTGACAAATAGTTACAACATTATAACCTTCTCTTTAGATAGTTCATATTAATAATAATAATAATAATAATTTAAGTCTTATTGTACATAACACAATAAAGTGGCCCTACGCACTTTACATGAACAAAAAGAAAAACAATGGAAATTTTAATCTGTTACCACATTTATTGTTTAAAAATAAAGCTTAAATTCATTTTAACACTTTCAAAATTTTAAACAATTGCTATTAATTCTATCTGATAGGGTGGTCGATCGATTGCAGGAGAGGCACAACATAATTATTTATACGTTATTTTCAACCATTCATTACCCTTTACTTCTTTTAATGCATAGATCTTCATGTTTATTCTATTTATTTATTTATTTTTCTTTTTTTGGGAGGGATGTTTGTATTTTAGTCAATATGCTTTAATAAGTATATTCTAATATTGTATCATCATCATGAGGAGGGGCAAATGCCCTCCCTGAACCTCCATTGGCACCACCACTGAATGTGTGGAGAAAAGAAGATTACAAATATTTGACCAAATAATACTGCATCACTCTCGCCAAGTTTCAATTCTTACCTTGTGAATATTTTCAATGGTGATAGCTTTACTGACTGAAGACTTGAGGAAAAATATGCAAATTCCAATGGCTGAGATATCTTTACCCTCTGTTAGGATTAACCTAGACTTGGAGGCACGAACTTTCCCTCCGGCTAATCGCAGTTGATCAGCTATTGTGGAATAAGAAAATGGTAAACATTGTAATTGACTACCTCATTTTACTAAATATGATAAGCAGTGGGAAGCGATCAACCTGGACTTTGTAGCATGAACTTACCTCCTGCTAACTGTAGTTGATCAGTACAAAATGGTAATAATAGTTAATTGACTATCTCATTTTACAAATATACCGTAAATGCCTCGTATAAGCGCAGCAGCACTTATACATTTACTGGATGCTTCAGTGCGGCGCTTATTCGAGATCGGGGCTTATAAAAAAATTGGTGAGGTGCTTTCCCATGCCCATTAACATCTTACCTTTCTCACGTATTCCTGTAGTTCTGTAGGCCTACCATAGGCCATACGTCATCGTGAATAATTGTTCATTTTAACACTGTATACTTTTAAAACCCTGTTTCTCAGAGTGTTTCATTACACACAGGGTAATATATATACTGCCGATTAAGCGCTGCAGTGTATATATTCAAGAGCAGCGCTTAGCAATAAAATCAGGTTTGTGCGGTGCTTATTCAAGAGCGGCGGTTATTCGAGAGCGGCGCCTATTCCAGAGCAGTGCTTATTCAAGCATTTAAGGTATAAGCAGTATGGTAAGGTTGGCTCTACAATCCACAAAAGTTTAGGGGGTAGGAGCAGAAGGGGTGGGATGGCTTATACTTGGACAATAACCTAATGTATAATTTTTTTTTTTCAAAAAACATCATGAAAACCAGTTGATTTTTGCAGTTTTTTGTAATGCAAAATTGCAAATTCCTGTGGCATATTTGGCACCACTTCCAAGAAATCTGGTATATGAGCTTTCTTATACATCAAATTGTATTTGCTTGTGTGTGGTGTTACCTATTACTGATGAATTAAAAAGATACTTTAATTGATATAATAGTACATTAATTTGCAGGAGATGGGTTATTTCTTGCTTATGAAAGCGATTGAAGCGTTAAGGCTTCTGAGAGACTTCCGCAGATTGTAAAAAAAATCAGTACCCTAGATTTAAATTAGATCACACACATTAACATAGATGATCTAATAGCAATATGATACACAATTCTCTTTCATCAGAGCGTATTACAATTTTGCACTAGCTCACCTACTATATCATAAACATGAAAAGCACCTGCATTATATTCTTAAACTGTCTTGAGTTCACAAGCTGTAAATTGAAACCAAAGTGACTCAATCATTACAAAATCTGATTAGTAAATCTCTTGATTCTAGCTATAGATTCTAACCACAATGTCACAAAATTCAGTTTGACGATCACCTTCATATTTCCTCTAAAATCTAACTATAGAAAAATCTATTAGCTGCAGACTTAAATAAATAGACTGGAAATAATTAACACAGATTAGAGTCAGTTCATATTTCCATTGATGTAAATATGCAATGTCTGTCATCTACTGTACAGCTAAAAAGAAATCAAAAATTCAATTCCATATTTGAAATTAAAGCTGCAACTAAAGATGTAAATGAGAAAAAAATATCCCCATCAATTAACTCTAAAATTTGCCGGTAAGCAATTAAAGATTTTTGTAGGAAAATGTAAATCAGCAACAAATTTGTATCCATTTTTTGTTGGAAGTTATTAATACCTATTTAATCCTTTTATTAACAATTCAATTTAATTTTTAAAGTCCAAAAGCATTATGTAAAGTAAGAGAAGAGTAATTCTTTGGACTTTGAAGTGTGAGGCCCCTTACTTGACTACTGTCGACGGGCATGCCACTCATTTCTCTCTCTACCGAGGTGAATAATAAGTGGGTATCTGGTAAAATACTGTAGCTTTGAATGCAAATGCGCTAAACTACAGAAACACTAGAGTTATGATCAGATGTAAATGCAAAAATGTAAAATTCAGGTTACCAAATATTTCAGGTTCAGTGGGCGGCAGCACAATTTTAGTGTAGGACAACTCATCAAAATCCTAAGTGAAACCAGCAACAACTTTGACTATGGTTGTTGCCAGTGTCACTCCATAATTAATGCAAGTTTATTCTCAACTGTGCAGTGTAAAATTTCTAATACAGACTTGTCACACTAACATTTTTATTTTCTCATTCTGGACAGCGCCACCAACGAGTAAGTAAATTTAAGAGATGGAGTAATGTAATAATAATAATAATCCGAAAAAGTATGGGACGCCAATTAAATTTGGTATGGTGCGCACCAAGCGCAATAGAATGAATAACCCTAAATTACTGCACTGTATCAAGAGACATGTTAAATTTCAAATCCACATCTATTCAACTAATGTAGACAGTCTTCCTACTTTCACCTTCCGCACAGCGGGGCAGGGGGGCTTAAGCCCACCCCCCATCGGTCTGGTCAAGCCCCCTCCCCATCGGCCAAAGCTCGTCAGGCAGTCGGACCAAAAAAAAAAAGCCTAGTTTTCCCATCCCAGCCATTTCAGGCCATCTAGAAGTCTCAATTTTTGTTAAAAACCCCACCCCCAGCTCCGGGCTTCAGTCCTCATATAACGCTGCGCGCCATAGTTACACCCATAAATACCTGTCTCTTATACACATCTAGATGTGTATAAGAGACAGTTTTACCTGTAATGACCTTAAATTACCTAAAATGATATGACTGTATGCCATGCTTGCATGCTTTGTTTTTTTTATTTATACACCACTTGTTAATTTATTTGCAAGCGAAATAAGTTGCTGTAATTGTAATTGAAATTTTCCTATAGTGAAAATTTATATCTTGTGTGTATTGCATACTAAACAATAGCAATTTACCTTGTTCAGAAATCTGTTCCATTTCTTGGTAGAAAAACATTAAGTGAAGACCAGCATCTTCTTTGAAGAAATTGTTCATTTTCTCAATCTTTTAAGAAAAAGAATACAAAATATGAGTACTATTCGTTCATTTATTTTCATTCATTTATTCGATCAATAATCAACAAACAGTACAGACATAAAATTCAAGGAGGAACAAGGACAAAGAGGATGAGAAAAACGTTGAAATCGCAAAAGGTCTAAGGAAAAATGTTAAAAATGATTAAGGAAAAAGATTAAAACAAGGATAATAAAATGTAATTATTAAGATAATTACAATTAAAAGACGTTTCTTTAAAAATTTACAAAAGCGAAAATCTGGATAGTCTCGTTAAAATTGTTAAAATTGTTTATGATTTTTTCAGTCCAGTTTTTAAAAATTGCCCCATCTGGGATGAATAAAGATAATATAAAGATTGATATTTTAAAAAACGAAAAAAATAAATAAATAAACCAGAAAAAAAACATCACATAAAAAAATTAGACTACAAATCAAAAAAAAAATTTGTGAATAGAAATAACAAAATTAATTTTATAAGATAGAAAATGGAATCATACTGTACGACATGCACTAGGCTTTGAAACACTACAAAAATTGACAAGGCAATTTATTTTTCTTTAATCAAATCCTGGTTATGCTTTCAATTAAAACTAAATGTAGAAAAAAAATGAATAAAAGAAAGGCAACTCCAAAAATTTATACATTTTTTTAATTTAAATTCTGATAGTGCTTTTAATTAAAGTTAAATGTAGAAAAAAATAAATAAAAGAAAGGTGACTCCAAAAATTTATACATTTTTTAAATTAAATTCTGATAGTGCTTTTAATTAAAGTTAAATGTAGAAAAAAATAAATAAAAGGCAACTCCAAAAATTTATACATTTTTTAAATTAAATTCTGATAATGCTTTTAATTAAAGCTAAATGTAGAAAAAAATAAATAAAAGAAAGGTGACTCCAAAAATTTATACATTTTTTTAATTAAATTCTGATAGTGCTTTTAATTAAAGCTAAAGGTAGAAAAAAATAAATAAAAGAAAGGTGACTCCAAAAATTTATACATTCTGATAGTGCTTGTAATTAAAAGCTAAATATAGAGGAAAAAAACAAATATCAATCAACTGCATACTATATGGTACCGAAAAGCTCATCAGTGATTTGTCGTACCTGTATCTGCGGCAATTGCTCAAACCAATCGGGCAGGAAATTAAATACTTACTGTACTTTGAACTATTAAACATCACTTAGTACGCTTTCATTAGATTTCAATTTTCAATCGTTAGAAATGAAGTTTATAAGTACTTGAATCGATGAGTGTGCCATATAGTGTAATGCCTGTTGTTGTTCGTCCATAATAAGTCAAGATTTAATTCTAATGCTTTTAATTCAGTTTTTTACTTAAAATGCAATTATTTTGAATAAAATACCTTTATGAATGAATGAATGAAAGTCTTGTACCAAATCAAAGAATAAAAAGGTCAGCATGTCTGCATTTTTAACGTGCATTAAAGTGTGATTTTTAAATAATTTTTTTTGAAGTGAGGATTAGTTATGACATCTGCTCTTGAGCAACGCTTAAGCCTTCATTTCCTGAGCGAGCGAGTGGGAGTATTACATCAAAAAGGTATAATTATTTTCACAAGAAATGAAAGGCACCTATATTACAGTGCAGAAATTAATCATTTAATAGCTTAAAATGCAAGAGACATCTTATAGCCTATGTTGTTAGACTTATACTGAATATTGAGAAAAACAAACTCAAATCCTACACAGGGCTAAAAAAATATGCAACCATGTGCAGTGGCAGTGCCCTGTCTCTTATACACATCTAGATGTGTATAAGAGACAGGTGCTCAAATAGGGAAGGTAAAACTTTAGGGGGAAAATATTTTTTCCCATAGTAGACCAGAGATACAATATAATGTATCCCAACTCATATTAACGGGTAACGCTTCTTTCCATGTGCTTGTTTTATTTAATGCTCAGTAATTAATTTATTTATTTATGTAAAAGTTTGTTAAATGCATTGTTTTTAAGTGGCCAGTGGCCTTGAAATGAAAATTAATTTTGTGGGCCAATCTTACAATGTTCAATGCGGGAGACATTTTACAGCATAAGCTGTTAGTACAGAATATTGAGAAAAAAACTCAAAACCTACACAGGACTGAAAGAAGAATGTGCAACCGCATGACTGTTTGTCAAAACCATCGCTCATGTCCCCAGAGTAAAAAAATTTTTTTTAGCTTGCTCCAGGCTACAGTTGTTGGGCTTTAGGTACAGATAATATTTAGTATTGGGGCATTTTATAATGACAATTTTCATGGTCAGAGAAACAAATTTTATTTTTCCAAGCATGACTCGAGCATATTACTATCAAACAATTATATTAAACAATGCCTAATCATAAGGTATCAATTTAATTAATAAACACTGATCAAATATCACATCTTTATTTCTTTGTATTGGATTTTTCTTTCTTCTATGATTATTTTATAGTCATTGAATAGAAGGTGGATTCTAGTCATATTATGCCATATAATAAAAATTAGATTACAAACATTACTATACTATAGTATTAAGGAAATCACTTTATAATTCTAAAAAAAAAAATTCTAACCTACTGTACAGTATGTTTTTGGTGCCTGATACTGAACAAAAATCAGATGAAATATGCACTATAAAAAAATTTCTTTTAATTTTTTTTTATTTATTATAAAAATATAACCGCAGAAGAATGATGGGAAAATCAATGTAGAAATTGGTGTGACAGCTTCTATTGATCTACAATCATTAAAAAATTAATCTTATTTTGAAAAACACATGTAACTAAAGCTTACGTTATTTCCCTCCAGGATAGCATCTTCAACCTCACTGTTTTCCAACCTGAGGCAGGAGGCCAACGACTGCATGATAAATTCATGACGCTCATCAAGAAGGGCACGCTTCGCTTCACGTTCTTCTTTCAGTTTTTGCTGAGGAGAAAAATATTTTGTTGTAAGTACAATTCTTTATATAATTTTTTTTATATATTTATTCTTCTAATGCATCGATAAAACTCAGTTTATACTACTACATTACAGGAGATGTAACGTACTGAGTGAGTTGTTAAACACAGGAATTAAAAAATATATTTTCACGAATTAAAATTAAATATACATAAAAAAATATATAGTTCTCCCTCCAATTTGAGAGACCACCATTTGGACCTGAAAATTTGGGGTGGTCTTGCAGGTTTGGTCTCTAACTAGAGGGTTAGCTTCGTGTTAAAAGGTTTAAAATTGGTTTTTTTTTGGTTCTTTAAAAAATTGGTCGCAGATTTAGAGGGGTCTTGACTTGGAGGGTGCACAGTAGAAAATGTACGAAATAGTAGGCCCAACAAGTTACTGTAAACATTTACAGTACTTAAACAAAGAAGATATAATTTTGAATGCCAGTGATGAGAATGAGCAAACACAGGCAGTAAAATGGTCTTATAAACAACTCCTTATTACCATCATTACCATTCTTATCATCATCTTCATCATCTCCATAATTATAAAGCAACAATATTACCATCATCAATACCACCATCATTGATCAACCACATAAATCATCACCTATCATATTAATCAATATCGTGTTTATCATTTTCATCTCATCACCAACATTATTTTTTTTTCAATTTCATTTGTTTAGGCCCATGGACCAAAGATACGCCAGCAACAAAATCACTTCTTAGCCAGCACAGTAGTCCCTTTCATGACACACACAAGACTCTACTGCACATGATCTAAGCCTCACTTTGAAGCTTAGAAAGCATGTTCTTTTGTTTTTCTGAGAATTCCCAGACAGGAATTTAACCTAAGATCATGGAACTAGAAGTAAAGCATCTTAACCTAGAACTACATTTCCAAACTTTGACCTTTTTTATGAAATAGCAGGGTGTTCTTGTACCCAAAAATAATATAAATAATATAAACCCATTTCATGTCCACTTGCTTTATATTCATTTGTCAGCAAAACCACTAAAGTATGTTACATTTAACTCGTCAATTTTTATGCGTATGACCCAATTGCATTGTGGGAATTGAAAGTACTTGGAGATTCTAAGGATCAATATGTGAATACGAAGATGACAATAGATATTACATGACTTGGCATAGCTAAATCCTACATCAGGTTGTCAAAGTGATGGTTTAAGAAAGCCCCATCACTACAATTGTTGACTCCATGCAAACATCTCAACTCGCAAACATTTCAAGTTGCAAACATGAATCCTCGGTCAATATTGACTTGGGGAGAATAAAGTGCATAGCAACCATCTACCACAGCAACCAATACATGTGGTAGAGTTTTTTAGCAGTGAGAATTTAAATTTGAAATTTAGTAGAGTGTGGGGTTCATTTCTCTATAAAAAAAAATCAATTATCAGAAATTATTCATCCTACAGAACTATTTATTATAGGAACAACTTCGGGACCAGAAGAAAGTGTTCCCTTTATTTAGGGGTGTCCCCTGGATTCTTGTCCGTAGTGTTAAAAGATATAAATTCTCTTGTTTCGATTCCAAAAAAAAAAAAGTGTCCCCCTTAATAAGGGGAGGAAACCCATTAATAGGGGTCCCCTTAATAGGGGTGTCGCAAAGGAAGGGATGATATAAAATTAATTTTGAATTGCTTACTATTGATATAAAAGAGGTACGTTCTGCCAAAAAAATTGAGAAAACCTAAAAAATTCAATGATTTAAGGAAAGCTTTTTTACAAGTACCAAATATTAAGTTGGTATAGTTTTCAACCAGAAACTGATATAAAAACATTGTTTTTTCTGATTTTCTTACAAAAATCCTTAAATTGATACCAGCTAATAATGACAGCCTAGGCAAAAGTGTACAGCAAAGGTACTATTTAGTCTGTTATTAAAGACAGGAATTTTTTTTGTTCAAATTTATTTCCTGTACAGGTATTAAAATTAGGCCCTATATGATAGAGAAGACAATAGACCACAAAAAAATTGTGTAAAAATATGGTTCTGAATAATAAACAAAAAAGGCATAATATTCCATGTTTTACTCAAGACCATTCCCCTCACATCACATTTCATATCAAACATAACTGTATTATTAATCATTGATACAGTTTGACTAGAATTCTTATCCAATATATTAGTACTGTACTTTCGCTATTGTGTATGAAGTCACGGTCCATAAACCCATTGTACACAAGAGTAGTTTCCATGGTATCTTCTGAAGCTGGTACTTAAACAAGTAAACATGAACCTAGTTGCCATGGTAAATTAGAGTGGGTAGATTAAGCACTGTACATAGAAACATATATATTCATTGAAATTCATTTGTTCTTTGTATTTATTAATATATAAATGCTGTAAAATATAAAAAGGTATGGTTGAAAAAATAAAATTTAAACGAATCTTAATCGTAATATGAATTATTAGATCCAAACCAATTAATGCCGCAATTCCTACTGCTGAGATCTAAAAAGGCATGCTTTTAGCATTCAAAAGTATAAAATGTCTCCCATTGACAACCTGCTTCTCCACCCCCCACCCCACCCCCATAACAGGTGTTTCTGAGAGACCCTAACCAGAATAACTAGGCTGCCCTTTCTTTTGGACCCTCTATGTGACTTGTAAACAACTTTAAATTGAAGGCTGAAAATATAAAGGTTATAATTTGGTTTAAAAATTCATATTGATTACTTGATGTTTCTTGATATCTTTGCTGCTTATGATAACTGGTGGTGATGCTGACACTCCGGCTCCGCCTCCTCCTGGTACCAATGCTCCTTTTCCTCCTTCCAATGACATTATTCCGTCATCAATCTCAATTTCTGATGATGCCTACTGTATGATCCAGTACAATTCCACCTGAACTCAACCGATCACGGACCAAAAATTTTGCTTGAACTAGAATTGTTTTTAAAAACCTACGGTAAAACCAAACTATTAACAAAATGCTAGCAGTATAGATTTATTAACCCTACCTTAAAAGTGGAGACTTTCTTTACCACCTTCATGAAAGATTTTGACATCTTCCAAGATGTTGTTCGTTCAAAAACCTTAGCCTAACTACCGCCGGAGAGAGAGTAGCTGTACAACGGAGCAGTAATTGTCTTGAAAATGAAACTTGGCATTGTGATTATTATGAGAACTAATAACAGTGAATCCATTAGTTGATAACATTAAAAAAAAGCTTATTTACTTCAAGTCATTAGGGTTCAGGTTGCCATTATTTCCAATAAAGGATTGCTTTCAAATAAAAATGGAAGTATTCCAGTGATTTATACCATGCCTAGCTCCTTGAAAACCTTTTAATAAATATTTTTTAATCAAGTTTCCCTCTTCAATCTACTTATAAAATTGAATCATCACTTATCATTGATACTGTACAACACATGCTAAACAGTGGTGGCTTTATGATTTGCCTGACGGGGTGGAGGGGTCCGAGGCTGTCTCTTATACACATCTAGATGTGTATAAGAGACAGATATGTATGTATATATATATATGTATATATATATGAATATATTTAGAGTGGGTAGATTAAGCACTGTACATAGAAACATATATATTCATTGAAATTCATTTGTTCTTTGTATTTATTAATATATAAATGCTGTAAAATATAAAAAGGTATGGTTGAAAAAATAAAATTTAAACGAATCTGAATCGTAATATGAATTATTAGATCCAAACCAAGTTAATTAATGCCGCAATTCCTACTGCTGAGATCTAAAAAGGCATGCTTTTAGCATTCAAAAGTATAAAATGTCTCCCATTGACAACCTGCTTCTCCACCCCCCACCCCACCCCCATAACAGGTGTTTCTGCGAGACCCTAACCAGAATAACTAGGCTGCCCTTTGTTTTGGACCCTCTATGTGACTTGTAAACAACTTTAATTGAAGGCTGAAAATATAAAGGTTATTAGAATTTGGTTTAAAAATTCATATTGATTACTTGATGTTTCTTGATATCTTTGCTGCTTATGATAACTGGTGGTGATGCTGACACTCCGGCTCCGCCTCCTCCTGGTACCAATGCTCCTTTTCCTCCTTCCAATGACATTATTCCGTCATCAATCTCAATTTCTGATGATGCCTACTGTATGATCCAGTACAATTCCACCTGAACTCAACCGGTCACGGACCAAAAATTTAGCTTGAACTAGAATTGTTTTTAAAAACCTACAGTAAGACCAAACTATTAACATAATGCTAGCTGTATAGATTTATTAACCCTACCTTAAAAGTGGAGACTTTCTTTACCACCTTCATGAAAGATTTCGACATCTTCCAAGATGTTGTTCGTTCAAAAACCTTAGCCTAACTACCGCCGGAGAGAGAGTAGCTGTACAACGGAGCAGTAATTGTCTTGAAAATGAAACTTGGCATTGTGATTATTATGAGAACTAATAACAGTGAATCCATTAGTTGATAACATTAAAAAAAAGCTTATTTACTTCAAGTCATTAGGGTTCAGGTTGCCATTATTTCCAATAAAGGATTGCTTTCAAATAAAAATGGAAGTATTCCAGTGATTTATACCATGCCTAGCTCCTTGAAAACCTTTTAATAAATATTTTTTAATCAAGTTTCCCTCTTCAATCTACTTATAAAATTGAATCATCACTTATCATTGATACTGTACAACACATGCTAAACAGTGGTGGCTTTATGATTTGCCTGACGGGGTGGAGGGGTCCGAGGTCCCTGACAGGGACGCTGATGTCCCCAACAAAAAAAATAGTGGGCGTGGTCGGTTGTTGCTCAAAATCTCTTAAAAGTTTTCCAGGGGTTGACAGATATGACAATTTAGGCATTTCAAAGGCTTATCTCATCAATTTTGGAGTCTATTATGTAGAAAATATTTTTTTCTCCCCGACGAATTGTGGGTTTTTTTTCCCAGACGTTGGGGGGACCAAACTCTCCCTGACAGGGACCTGGCCCCCCCCAGCCCTAACTCTGGTGTCACTCCTG